GAAGCCAAAAACCAGATGGTCCGGTTCCAAGCCAAACGGGTGACAATCCTGATGGGAAAGATCATTCGACAGCACAATTGGCTGTCGTGTTTTGTCCACAAAATGTCAATTCATTTTACAGTATATTCCGCGAAGTGCTTTGAGACGTCTCGAGGTTGCGATAAGCCGCTATAACAAATGCAAGGATTATTATTATTATTTCTCAGTTTCTTTAGTGATGCACTTAACAGAGGCACTCAGTACAACTCCCTTATCCGTAGTGGTTAGAATGCTCACCTTGCAAGCATTGCCTCACGGGGCCACACCTTAGACAAGTTTACTTACTCCACACGCCTCTGTTTACCTACCTGTAAGTAGGAACCTGGTTGTTCATCATTTGCTGGATCACTTTCAATAATAGTGATAATCCCTTCAATAATAATAATGCTTTTCACCCACAAATTACACAGTCAATCCACTTTGCAATATGTTCTGTGAAGTGCTTTGAGACGTCTCAGCGACGTGATAATAATAATAATAATCCTTACATTTGATATAGTGCTTTATCACGTCTTTATCAATATATCAAATGCAAAGATTATTATAAAGATGTGTGGGAATCAGATGAGGATATGATAGGACTTGGCTCTGATGTTTCTCTCCCTCACCGCCTACTTCCTCATACGTCACTGACCTCAGGAGAGCAAAAGGGAGAACAATACAATACAAATTTACAGTCACACAGCACCTTTCATGTCAGGAGGACAAAGACAAGGACACTGCTGGCAGGATACTGGAGCTGCGGGTAGGAGGAGAGAGGATGGGGAACAACAACAACAAAACATTGCATTTATACTGCCTTTCATGTCGGGAGGTGCTGGACAATGAGTGCTTTGCACCCAAGCTGCAGACTGGAGTCAGGAGGGATGGAGGGCAAGGGCGTGGGTATGGGAAGATGACCGAAGGTCGAAGAGGAAGGTCTTGAGATGGGCCTCGAAGAGGGCAAAGGAAGGGGCCAGGCAGATGGGCTCTGGGATGACCGAAAGGATGGTCAAAGAGGGCAGGGTTAGAATAGCTGAGTGTAACTCTAGTGTGTAGCTCTAGTGGGGAGGGAAGGTGGGGTGAGACCCTGGAAGGATTTAAAGGTGAGGAGAATCTTGAATTCAATCTGCTGGGGATGAGGGATGGGTACAAGAGTAGAGGATCGGATTGAAGATTCTAAGGACCTACTTACTGCGCGGTAAACAGAGGTGTGTGAAGTAAGGAAACTTGCCTATGGTTTTGCCCCAGCCATGAATCAAACACGGGTTCTCTCATTTGTGGGGCGAGTGCTCTAACCACTACGCTGCAGGACTCCACTCTAATACAGTCACTACATGCTACAATGGCCTTTTCTCCTTGATTATTGTGTTTGGGTCACTGTGAGGCAACAGAGATTGGGGCGCCTGGAACTGTAAAGCTTTCCTCTAGATACACGAGTCTCTGTGAACTTTGATGTGGAGATAATTACAGTTTTAGCGCTGATCGCAGTTTAGAGTTACCAGAGGAGTCTGGGTTTGAACATCAATGAACTGCTGGCTTGATGTGCGACTGTAATTACCTCCAGCTCCTGTCTCCCCAACACTCTGCTAATCCTTGTTTTACTTAATAACATGAATAGGAATTGGACCACAATGTGTTTTTTGTAATGGACGGAAAATCCCTAAAAATAGCATGTCTCCGCACAGTCCCACTCCTCTTCCCCCTGCGCTTTGTGTTGGGATGTGATCCAAGTGTTGAGTATTCATGGGGGAGTGTCCACAAGGAGAGATGCAGTTGAGCCCATGTTTGCTTACCAAGTAGGGGTTTGGAAAGCCATTAGGAGTAGGATTCATCCCGCTTCTTAGCCCAGGGCCAATGAGGAAATTGGTACCCCAACTGCTGCCCTGGCTGAGATGAGCTAAGCCTCCGATTATACCTCACAATCTTTCACTTGTTTACCTGGCAGCTCCCTACCTTTGGTGAGAGATGCAGTCAGAGGCGGGCAACATGACGGAGGTGGAGGAAAGCGATCCTGGTCAGGGACTGGATGTGGGGTAGGAAGGACTGTTGGTGATCAATCCTGACTCCTAGGTTATGCACAGGTTCGGTAAGTCTGAGGGAAAGGCTGAGGATTTACTGTAAAGTATAGCGACTGTGTATTTTGTAGGTGAACGCAGACAGCCAATTTTACCACAGCAGCGCCTAACAAACAGCCATGAAGTGAATAAAGAATTTTATCTGGGGGATTGTTGTCCAGGACATCGGGAGGAAGAAACTCACTTCTCTTTTCAGGAACGATGATTAGATTTTAATAGCCATCTAAATGGTCAGACGAGGGAGGCACTGGCTTAATGACACATCCAAAGGACGCAACTTCTGACAATGCCGGGTTCCCCCAGCACTGCGCTGCAGCATCAGCGTAGATTAATTGGTTAGTCACCTCGTGGCTGCGTATAGGATCTTGCTGTGTGCAAATGGGTGTTGCCATTAAAATAAAAGTAGGGCTTCTGATTTTTGTTTTTAACTGAAAACACATGGAACACCCCGGAGAGGTGTATTGTATCCCGGGTACAGTATGATACAGGACTCCATGATATGTTACAGGATTCCACAGCAATACAGGTGAGTCTGGTGAAGAGTTACCCGAAAAAATCTCGTTACACAATAGAAAAGCTCTGAAAACCCCCAATTTTTGGACATCCACAATAGTTAAATTGCTAATCTATTGAAAATTGCTAAGAAAAAACAATAGCCCCCTTTAAATGAAATCAATAAACCCCAAAACACAGAAGCCCTAACTAAATAAATTCATAACAACCCGTGAAGCACTTTTAACATCATAAAGTGCCACAAAAGTTCTTTCTTTGTAACAAGCTAAGGGTTGCCACTCTTGGCTCAGAGAAGCTGCAAGGGTGACATCTAGTGGCAATGTAGATACTAGTTACGTTTTCAATGAGTGAACTTTGAAGACATCACTCTCCTTGTATTATAGTCTTATTACTCATTCCTTTTTAATACTACAGTCAGACAGAAAAAACTACTTTCAGGGCGTGGGAAGGAACACAATACGATAAGACGTCCTCGCACACGTGAGGACTCCAGGCTGGTTGGCATTAGCTGGTGTCCTGAAAATAATAAAATCCTTGCATTTGATATGCCTTATCAAGTCGTTGAGACATCTCAAACCCCTAACAGAACATATTGCAAAGTGGATTGACCGTATTTTTGGGCGAAACTCGGCAGCCAATTGCACACAGCAGTTTCCCACAAACAATCGTGGATTGAGTGACCAAATTGTTTTTGAGGGATTATTTACCCACTGAAAAGCAATCTGCCAATCGACCAACAGCCAAGTTCATACTTACTGCTTGATAAACAGAGGCGTATGAGGTGTAAGGAAACTTGCCTAAGGGTTTGCCCCGCCCAGGAATCAAATCCTGTTCTTCTTGCTTGCGAGGTGAGCGCACTAACCACTATGCTACGGCCTGAAATCAAGCCCATTGGAACAGAGGAAGGAAGAGAAGCTTTCACCTCTTAGTTGAATGGGATCTGAATTGTCATGTGAGGGTGTGGCTGGAGGAGATCATTGTGAGGTGTGGAGTTGAGTGGACCATTGTGAATTGGAGGGGTGGAGTGGGCCCTGGCGAGTTAGAGGGGTGGAGCGGGCCATTTGAGGTGAGAGGGTGGGTACAGTCCAACAAAATAGTGCTACAGAGTGTCAAGTTTTAATGAACCAAATAATTCCAAACTATTCTTTAGCAAACAAGTGACTGAGCTAGACATTTGCGGGAAAAAAATAGGTGTGAATGATTTAATTATTTTGAAGATTAGCCTGGGAGAAGGAAATCTCCCAGTCCTTCATGTACTGGTTTCAAGTAGAAGTGGATCATTAGTCTACACATTCAAGACAACATGGAGTCCTGTAGCTCAGTGGTTAGAGCACTCGCTTTCCAAGTGAGAGACCTGAGTTCAATTCCAGGCAGAGGGCGAAACCTTGGGCAAGTTTCCTTACTCCACACAGAGCCTAATAATAATCCCTCCAAAACAAAACACAATAATAAATTGGTCATTTTCAATCTACGACATTGCTGTGCGCAATTGGCTGCTGCGTTCGCCCACAAATATACAGTCAATTCACTTTACAGTATATTCTGTGAAGCGTTTAAAAGCGCTATATCAAATGCAAGGATTATTATTATTATTATAACATGCTCTCAAATGCAATCTATGAGGTTTTAGCTGGTTAGGCTCCGGCAGTTATCCCAACCGCAACCTGCACACAATACTTCCTGGAATTAGGTAACCAGGATGCATCCCTCCAGGAAGAGAGTGCGCATTCCATTCCAATAATCCATCTCTGGAATTTCCACGTGTAGGTGGAATGCATGGAATTCTCAGTTTGGTTTAGATACTCGTGGTGATGGGTTTCCACGTGTCAGACACCCGGCTGAGCAAAAAAAAAATCCCGAAGGATTGTCTCAGCACATCAGTCTTATCCAATAACCCAGAATGTAGGAACTTGTCTCATTCCTTTTTTTGAAACTGTTCAGTTATTTCTTCCACTGTCTGTGCAGCCCCCCACACCCCCTTACTGATGAAATATGGTGTAACATTGCATCCCAACAGGAATATACCACAGAAGTTGTTGTAGAATCATAGTAAGCATAATCTGTGAAGCGCTTTGAGATGTCTCGAAGACGTGATAAATGCAAAGAATATTATTATTATTAGAGATTTTAGCCCAGAGGAAGGTCGTGTGATGGTGCTTACTCTCCCACTGGAGCTCTCTACTGTAATCCCATTCCTATCATGTCGTGTCTGTATTGGTGCTCGCTCCCCCACCTCAGGTAGTTTTAGTGTATAATTCTCATCGTTACTGTAACGTCTAGTCCTCTAAGTACATTACACAGATAGTGTGTAGCTTCTAAAGAGAAAAAAGGAGATGATATAGTAATGTTAATTAATAGCAGCAACAAAACAGTATGTTGAAGAGCAGAGATGCAGGGTTAGGCCTTGATCAGGCCTTGTGTTTAATATTAATATATTCTTTACAGGTTTTGAGATTCATTCATCCTGAATCCATTGTTCTATCAAACGACTCCTTTACAATAACGTACGGAATAACACTACATGCGTTGGACTTAAGAAATTCTACTTGTAATCAGAGGGTTGGACATGGTCACAAACCAGTAGAAAGACTACAAAAAGAGGGAGGAGGTAACCACGACACCAGTGTGGCTCAGACCCTTGCCTGCTCCAAGTCATCGGGGTAGGTTTGCAATATCTTCATGATCGACTCAACCCCTACGGTCGGCTCAAGTCTGGTGCTTGAGGTAGTTCCTCAGGATTGGTGGTACATCCAGTTGCTCTATGGAACGTAGACCACTCGCCAGTTTAAGGCACCTTCGGATGACAATGCGAGCCTGTGATATCAGGCACCTCGGTTGAGCTGAAATCAAAACGTACATCAGTTAAACGGTGAGGGACTAACAGCAAGGGTCACTGTATGGAAGAGGAAATCTCCTGTCAGCCCTATGTGCTATTGGTGCCTATTGTTCTTCCCTTTCTACCAAGTAAGCTCTTGTTTAGGACAGACTCTGGTTATTACAAATTGCCTTTCATGTGCGATTGTTATGAAGTGCGGATTGGGATAAAGGTGAGATAAAAAGGAGGGGTGGGGGCGAGGGTGAGGGAAAACATTATCGCTGAAGTAGATTTTCAGAACAGGAAGACAAGGAACAAAGTGAAGTGATTTAAGGAGACAATTCCAGGGTTAGGGGTTTTGAAGACCAAACTTAGCAGGTAATGTCTTATCAAAATACTGTCTTCCTTTGTCTCTGTTTCTACAATCTTGGTGGTATCCTGGACTTTGAGCCTTTGTTTTTCTTCTCATTGTTCTCCGTTGCTCTGCTCTCTTGCCCAGAAACCACTGAGGTTAATTGTAACCTCAACTCATAATAATTGGAGTTGAGACATAGATCAGCCATGACCTAATAAAATGGCAGAACAGACTTGAGGAGCTGAATGGCCTACTCCTGTTCCTATAACTCTAATAAGGATCTAACCTCAGATGCTAGCAGGGAGTTTAGGAGTAACTTTGTCATACAGAGGGTGATGAGAATGTGGAACTCACTGCTGGAAGCTCTGATTGCAACCTACAGCATCAATGTTTTTAAGAGAGAAGGGAATAGAGAGGTTTAGGAGAGGTGAATAGGAGGTGTAGGGCATTGGAATTCAGCGTTTTTTATTAACTAGTGACAGAAGAAAAGGATGGTTGGTTTCCAAGCCTGACTGAGGAATATCATATATAACACACAATAAGGAAAAGCCATTCATTCCCAGAGATCTCATTCCAACAACACGTCTCCTCCAATATGCAGTGAATTATTAGCCTGGACTATGAGCTTAGGTCCTGACACTGAGACCAATTTAATGTCCCCATTGCTACCGCAGCTTAAATTAGCTTAACACAGGATCAATAACAATTTACATTATACAATAATACATAGAATAAATGGCTCAAAGCATTTCAATATATTTTGTCTTCTTGTATGTATATTTGTGTTTGAAAAATATCTATACATTATGGTATTAGCTGCCTCTTACCCCTGGCTCGCATGAGGATTTGAACGGCTTTTTTTCGCTGTGTATTTTTATCCGCCGAGAGCACTGGTAAGTAAATATTTGCTCCAAAGTCTATAAGTAGCTGGATATACTCAGGCCCACACCCGTACCTCAGACACATTTCCAGGGCAGTCTTTCGCCTCTTGATCCTTGTCACGAGCCTCTTCTCTCTACAGTTGAAATCTGGGTCTGCCCCGTACAAAAGAAGCAGTCGGAAGCAGTCGTAATGCTTGTATACAGAGGCAAAGTAGAGGGGGCCGCTGCCGGCAGAGGCATTGGAGGCCCACCTTTGAGCCTTGGACCTGACGTTGACCTCTGCCCCATGCTCCAGCAGCTCTCTCAGGATCTCCACTTCGCCCTCTCTGGCCGCGGTGAGAATGGGTGAGCAATTGTTGTGGATGCTTCCGTTGGGGTTAGCTCCTGCCCGGAGTAGGGCGCGGACACAGCATGGGTGTCTGCTGCTGACGGCGGTGAACAGAGGGGTTTGAGCCTTTACATCCAAGCTGTCCACCTCAGCCCCATACTTCAAGAGGACTTCCAGGCATCTTAGGTGACCCTTCGCGGCTGCCAAGCGGAGAGGAGTCCCTGGCACCCCCCAGCCACTACGACTGTTGATAAATTGAACATACCGCTCCTGGGACAGAAGCTCCTCCAGGAGTTGGTCATTATCTTTGGAGACCGTTTGGCTGAGTTGTTTGATTTCTCCGTTGTCGTCGTCATTCCTCGGCTGGAACATGGAAAAGATCTTGCCGATGTCCACCAGGCTCATCCTCGCCGGACGCATGATGTCCATTCTGGTGTTACTGGAATGGTTTGCGAGGCAGCAGTAGCTCGGGGAGGTCCTCATAATGCCCCACGGTAACTTCTGAGAGCTGAGGCACGTTGCCAGCGATGGCACATAGCGATGATTGTGAGGTCACTCACAGCCGGAGAGGTACATTGTTCTTTCACTCGGCAGCTCACAAAACACCAAGAAAACAACAAGGTGGGGCGAGTGTGTCGGTAACCAGAGGCAGACAGATTTAAGATAACTGGCAAAAGTACCAGAGGGAAGACGAGTAGCTCTTTTACCCAAAGAGTGTCACGATCTGGAATGCGCTGCCTGAAAAGGGTGGTGGAAGAAAATTCGATCGTGGCTTTCAAAAGGGAATTGGATGGGTACTTGAAAAGGGAAAATGGTGGGCGTTTAGAAGGTTGCAGAGGTACGGTGGGGTAGGAATGGAGAAGGATCGAATGGTCGGCAGTGTCGAAGGCAGCAGAGAGGTCAAGAAGGATGAGATCTTTATTAAAGTATTCAAGATCCCAACAGTTAGAGATAAATTGCGAACGTTTAATAATGTGTTTAACGTGGTCATAAAAATCTAAACTAAAGGACCACAAACTAAAGTTCAGAAGAGGGAAGTTCATTTAGAGCACTGGGGGCCAACCTTTTTTAGTCGGCCAACCAAATACACTTTTCTTTATTGAATTTTTCTTCGGTTATGGCTGTGCCAATGGGTATCGGTAGCTGCTGGAAACGAGGCNAAAAAAACCCGCAAAATACTGCAGATGCTGGAAATCTGAAACCAAAAACAGAAGTCGCTGGGAACACTCAGCAGGTCAGGCAACGTCTACGGAGAAAGTGGGTCAACGTTCGGGTCCACGGCCCGAACTCAGAACTGGGGGATGTTGAGAGGGAGAGGCTTTGTGGACTGACAGAGAGGGGCGATAGCAGAGCAAGGAAGACAAAGGAGAAAATGGGGCGGAGGACAGATAGATATGTTTTTTATTGCAAAAGGGATTAAGGGATATGGGGATAAGGCAGGGGCAGGTTATTAGCTGGAGTTAGATTAGGTCAGCCATGATTGAATGGCGGGTCAGGCTCGAAGGGCCGAATGGCCTCCTCCTGCTCCTACATGTTATGTTATGTTAGGACGGGGGACGATGGGTTAAAAGAGGGTACTTTCACCCACAAATATACCGTCAATTCACTTTGCAGTTTATTCTGTGAAGCGCTTTGAGACGTTAAGAGGTGGAAAGCGCTATATCAAATGCAAGGATTAGTATAGTATTATTATTATTATTATCATCACTTTGTGGAGACCCTTTGTGGACAGGATGTGGATGTTTGCTCTGTTGTTTCCACGGAGGGTGTCCGCAAACTCCTGTTACCCCCCCCATGTTTTTTGTTCCCCACAGGGCACTGACCCAACAACTGAAGCAGTGGCAGAATGATGAGCACTGTATTCAGGAATACTCAACCGTATTCAGTACAAGTGTTTTAACTGTATTTGGAGCTCCAGAGTGCGAGCGACGGCCATCAATCTCACGGCACAGGACGATCCGCGCTCTTCGATGACCGTTATGCAAATGAGGCGGGTGCGCAGGCGCTGTGGCGCTGACTCGTGGGGGGTGGGTCTGGTCGTTATGCAAATGAGGCGGGGTGCGCAGGCGCTGTGGCGCTGACTCGTGGGGGGTGGGTCTGGTCGTTATGCAAATGAGGCGGGTGCGCAGGCGCTGTGGCGCTGACTCGTGGGGGGTGGGTCTGGTCGTTATGCAAATGAGGCGGGTGCGCAGGCGCTGTGGCGCTGACTCGGGGGAAGGCTGGCCGTTATGCAAATGAGGCGGGCGCGCAGGCGCTATGTTGCTAACTCGTGGGGGGGTGGGTCTGGTCGTTATGCAAATGAGGCGGGTGCGCGGGCGCTGTGGCGCTGGCTCCTGGGGGGGAGGGGCCGGGCGTTATGCAAATAAGGCAGGTTCGTAGACGCTGCGGCGCTGGCTCGCGGGGGGGGAGGGGCCGCCTGGTATGCAAATGAGGCGGGTGCGCAGGCGCTTTGGCGCTGGCTCGCGGGTGGGTCCGTTATGCAAATGAAGCGCGCGGGAGAATGGAGTGACTGCGCCTGCGCGAGGCTGTTTTTTTTCCCCCCCTCTTCTTCCGATACGGGCGATGGCGGCGCTGGGCCTGAGCAGAGCCCTCAACTACCTCCAGGGCTCCGTGAGCAGCGCAGCCTGGCGGGTGAGACAGCCTGGTGTCTGGGAGGGAGGGAGGGAGGAGAAGATGGAGGAGGGAGGGAGGAGGGAGGAGAAGATGGAGGAGGGAAGGAGGGAAGAGAAGATGGAGGAGGAGGAGGGAGGAGAAGATGGAGGAGGAGGAGGGAGGAGAAGATGGAGGAGGAGGAGGGAGGAGAAGATGGAGGAGGAGGGGGAGAGAAGATGGAGGAGGAGGGAGGGAGGAGAAGATGGAGGAGGGAGGGAGGGAGGAGAAGATGGAGGAGGAGGAGGGAGGGAGGAGAAGATGTAGGAGGGAGGGAGGAAGGGAAGAGAAGATGGAGGAGGAGGAGGGAGGAGAAGATGGAGGAGGAGGAGGGAGGAGAAGATGGAGGAGGAGGAGGGAGGGTGTTTGCTTCCTTGTGGCACAGACTGTTGTTAATGTGTTTGTTAATGGCTTCTCCCGGGGCCACGGAAGCAGTGAGAGGGGGAGCGGGATGACGGCCTAGTGGGAGGGCTGTCCACCCCCACCCCCACCCCCAGGTTCTCACGGTGACCGGGTACCGGATTGGACGGGTTTTTGCTGCACTGTGATTTTTATTTCAAATTAAAATTTAAACCTCTGCAAAACATTCCCACACCCACACCCACACACACACTTTTTTTGAAGAGCTTTTCTTTACCCGGTGTCAAAAGTATGAAGCCCAAATCGTCGGCTGTTCTGTTACCACAAAGAGGAGACAGTCTTATTAATAATAATAATCTTTGCGTTTCATATTGCACCGTGTATCGTTGAGACGGCTCGAAGCGCTTCACATTGCCGCCTGTAGGGATTGGTTAGATTTTGCGGTAGAAACGCAGCGAGTGTTAGGTAGATTTTGGCCCACTCGCTGGTGACACTTGCAGCCCAAGTTCACACAGACACCGAACAACGAGGCTGCCACAGATACCCTCACTTTCACGCCGGAAGAAAATACTCAATAATAACAATCCTTGCATCGGATAAGTGTTTCACGTCCTGAGTATGTCGCCAAGTGCTTCACAGGATTTACTGTAAAGTGCAGTGATTGCGGTTTGTGGATAAAACACGGCAGTCAGTTTGCGCACAGCAGTGTCCTACAAACGGCTGCAGAGTGAATGGTTTATTTGCGGGATTGTTGGCCAGGACCAATAGTGTCATGGGATCTTTGAAGTTCACTTGAAAGGAAGTGTGTTCAAATTGGCTGCTCGTTTTTTCCACTTTACAGTACATCCTGTGAAGGACTTTGGGGTGTCCTCCCGACGTGGAAGGCGTTATACCAAATATAAGGATTGTTATTATTTTATAAAATTTAGCAAGATAACACTATTTTGTCTAAACTTGGAATCTGGTATGATACAAGGTATTTATCCTTAAGAGGTAAGGGGCTTCTTTCGGATGGCCCTGCACTGAAGATGTATTTGATTATGGTGATGGCTTAATTCCCATTGCTTGAGAATTGAGTCCACTACCGGGAAATTTCAATGCGTTTCCTTTTGCTAGATATTTTCAGGCATCCCAAGAGGAAATGTAGAGCTGGTTCGGAATTATTATGCCGATTGGCGAATGCTTCGGGATGTGAAAAGGAGGAAAATGGCCTTTGATTACGCAGACGAAAGGAGGAGAATTAATGCAATCCGAAAAAACACAATCTTACCCAAAGAACTGCAGGTACTGCCAACATTCACACAGCACTGTATTGAGATGAGTACTTTGTTATAGATGTTCCAGCTCTAGTTGCAGGAATCTAAAACTATTCAGTTGAAGACAAAGGGGGTTGTTGTGTTCTATGGATTGAATCCCCCAATTAAAATTGGTCCTTCACTTCATGACCGTTTGTTGAGCATTATTGTGTGCAAATGGGCTGCTGTGTTCACCCACAAATACAGTCTGGTCTTTATTTGTCTTGTAGGAAAATTTGTCTCTTAGGAGTCCTGTAGCTCAGTGGTTAGAGCGCTTGCCTCGCAAGGGAGAGACCCGGGTTTGATTCCTGGCAGGGCGAAACCTTGGGCAAGTTTCTCTCCCTTGATGCGTCGCAGCTATCAAGCTACCGGCCCATCTCCAACCTCCCCTTCCTGTCCAAGGTCCTTGAACGAGTTGTCGCCTCCCAGCTGCGCTCTTTCCTCTCCACCCATTCATTATTCGAACCCCTTCAGTCGGGTTTCCGTGCTGCCCATAGCACAGAAACTGCCCTGGTCAAGGTCACCAATGACATCCTGACCATCTGTGACCAGGGCTCCCTCTGCCTCCTCGTCCTCCTCGACCTATCGGCAGCATTCGATACGGTCGACCACGCTATCCTCCTCCACCGCTTGTCCTCCCACCTCAACCTTCAAGGCCCTGTCCTTGAGTGGTTTAGGTCGTACCTCTCCCACCGTCTTCACTTTGTTTCCACAAACGGCTTTTCCTCCACCCCCGCACTGTCTCGTGCGGTGTCCCTCAGGGCTCTGTCCTCGGTCCCCTCCTCTTCACCCTCTATATGCTCCCCCTGTGGTGACATCATCCGCAGACATGGGGTTAACTTCCACATGTATGCGGATGACACCCAACTCTACCTTTCCTCCTCTACCCTCAACTCCACGACCCCCGATGTCCTGACAGCTGCCTGTCCGACATCGAGTCCTGGACGAGAGACAACTTTCTTCAGCTCAACGTGCGTAAAACTGAGGCCCTCCTGATTGGCTCACGTCAGCGCCTCCGCACCTCAGGCGCTGACAGCATCAGCATCCAAGGCTGCACTCTCCACCTCTCAAAGCCAGTCAGGAACCTCGGCGTTCTGTTCGACCCTGAGCTGTCCTTTCTCCCTCATATCCGCACCACAACTGGCACCGCCTTCCATCACCTCCGGAATATCGCCAGACTACGGCACTACCTCTCCCCTCACGCTGCTGAAACTCTGGTCCACGCCTTTATCACCTCAAGGCTGGACTATGGGAACTCTCTCCTCGCCGGCCTTCCCGCCACCTCCCTCCACAAGCTGCAGGTCATTCAGAACTCTGCAGCTCGTGTACTGTCCCGCACCAGACACCGCGACCACATCACTCCCACCCTCGCCCTCGCTCGCCTCCACTGGCTCCCCATCCCCCAGAGGATCGAATTCAAGATCCTCATCCTCACCTACAAGGCCATTCACGGCTTCGCTCCCTCCTACCTCTCCGAACTACTATCCCCCTACCTACCTGCCCGTACCCTCCGTTCCTCTGGCTCCGGTCTGCTCCACATCCCCCGCCCCAACCGCCCTACCATCGGTGGCCGGGCCTTCAGCCTCTCAGCCCCGAGGCTCTGGAACTCCATCCCCCAGTGCCTTCGCCGCCTCCTCCCTTTCCTCCTTCAAGGCCGGTCTCAAGACCTTTCTCTTTGACCGTGCCTTCAGCTCCCCTCTCGACTCTCTACCCCCTCCTCGCTCCCTCCCTTCCCTCCCCTCACCCTGACCATTTCCCCCCTGCTCGGGTCCTGACCCAACTGTACAGCGCCTTGGGACGTCCTCCCGACGTGAAAGGCGCTCTTATAAATGCAATCTTGTTGTATTCTGTCATGATAATGTTGTTTCACTTGAAGTAATGCTAACCCTAAACAGGACACTAAGAATAACCTAGGAGTTAAAGTTAAAATCCTGTACCTCACAGAATTCAGTAAAATATATTTCCCTTTGTTTGATAATTACACTGCTGTGCGCAATTGGCTGCCGCGTTTTGCCCACAAATATACAATCAATTCACTTTACAGTATATTCTGTAAAGCGCTTTGAGACGTCGAGAAGACGTGAAAAGCACTATATCAAATGCAAGGATTATTATTAATTATTTATGGTATATCCAGTGAAGGCTTTGTGATACCCTCCTGACGTGAAAAGTGCTGTCCACGGATTGTGATATTATTATTTTGGAAATAGGGAACTTTAATTGATTCCCTCAGGTTGATCCCCTGAAGGCAATTGTGAATTGCTGCTGCAGCCGTAGTGTCTTAATAACTGACCAGTGGGTTATGTATTTGTCATCGTTGGAACATAATATGTAAGTTTCTATTCCTGCCCAAACTGCTCAGCTATTCCTGCATTGAGTTGAGTAGAATGTCATACTTGCTACCTAGGAAACCGGGTTAAATGCAACTGCAATAGTGCTATCCTGTTCACATTAACGTGATTTTGCTGGATGGTAAGGATGCAATGAACAAAACAGCCACTCATCCACTTTCTGTCAGTAGATGGCAGTGTTGACCAAGTTAATTTCTAAATATGTTCAAGATCGTCTTTCTTACTCTTCCGTTCATATCAACCTGAGGAAAATTCAGACTTGTGGCACAACAGAGGTTTTGAAGATATGATATCCCACTAATAGTCATGAAATGAACGACCAATTTTATCCGGAAGATTGTTGGCCAGGATAACAGAAGAAATTCCATTTCGCTTTTTTGAATAGTGGCACAGGATCTTTAATGTCTGCCTGAGCAGGCAGCCAAGACCTCAGTTTAACATCTCATCTGAAGAATGATACCTCCAACCATGCAGAGCAACCCCAGCACTGCACTAGGCCAGCCTAGACTGAATTCACAAAGTCCCAATGTGGGGCTAACACCTGTGATAAAACCAGGCTGACGCTTTATAATAAAATAATAATTCAAAGGGACTTGGGCGGATGTACAAGTTAGGCGATCATAGAACAACAACAAATTACATTCATATAGAGCCTCTCACGTCAAGGGTTGTTATACGATTTATACAGATCAGACATGTGCGAGTTTTACTGTCTACCGCGTTATCGAAACATTCCAAAGCACTTCACAGAATTTTTGCTGCAAAGTACTGTGAGAGTGTATTTGTAAGTGAACAGTAGCAACAGTAATACAAGTGTCTTGCATGTAAAAGAACATCCTTTATTCACATCACAACTGTGTTCCCACAGGAAGTGGCTGATAAAGAAATTGCAGCTCTTCCAAGAGACAGCTGCCCGGTTCGTATCCGCAATCGATGTATCTTCACGTCCAGGCCAAGAGCTGTTAAACGCAGGTGGCGTCTCAGTAGAATTGTCTTCCGCCATCTTGCTGACCATAATCAGATGTCTGGCATTCAGCGAGCCATGTGGTAGAGGGACCTATCTCCACTGGGTCTGTAGGTGTTATTAAAGGGTGGCCAGATTGGCATGAATCACCCAAGACTAGAGCCATAAGATGTTCAGTGCTGTGCTCAAAGGCTGGTCAACTGCATGTGAGAAATGATGGAAGGCGAGTGCTCCTCACTTTACCTGGTATTCATTACTAATTCAACTGGTGCATTTAAATTCAAGTGAATTTAATAGAAAATTGAACAGAACTTGTGCAGATGGTCCACTTGGGCGATTAAACCCTTTATACAGATCAGACTTGTGCGAGTTTTACTGCAGTTTTGTTTAAATGAAGATACTGCCCTTTAATAGTATTCCTTTAAGTCTTATGGAGTTTGTGCACATTTCGCCCTTTGTGATGTGCGTTAGCAGAGGAGTTGCCACGTGTACGCTCGAGTCCACAATTACATGCTCTGTGACTTTGTCCAAAGGTTGTTTTTCTGCAATGCTGTTATGTGACTTTGAAATGACCCATTAATTCAACTCAATAAAGTACATTTAAAGGGAACTGTGCCTGCCTGCTTTCTTTCTTTGAGAATTAATGCTCAGACACATGAGACAAATACTTCAATAAGTCTATTTTGCTCTAAAGTGTTGTCTGTAGGGTGTCTGTTTCTTGATCATACTCCCAGCTGTACAGATCTCTACAGTCTTCAGTTGCTGCTGCCGAGGTGTGTGACAGTGAATGGTTTTTCAATTGGTCACTTATATCTAGTTATTCGGGTTATTGTTAATGCATAAATGCAAGTTATTAAATAGCCACGCACGCTTCTCTGTAAGCAAATTGTCAACGGGAATTATCTGAGACGGGTGCTTTCTGCTGAAACTGAGACGTCCTCCCGACGTGAAAGGCGCTCAATAAATGGAATCTTGTTGTTGTTGTGAGATGGCTGTGAGCCGTACCAAGAACACGTATATGGCTCGTAGTTCTATGCTTCAACCACATAAGTAGTTCTATGGTTTGATAATGATGCTTAAGTGTATCTAAACTAGCCTGAGAGCTCGATGCATGAGAGTTCAGTCTTTAAGCAAGGGGTTTACTTTGATCTATTGACAGGGAAGTACAAGATTTTGAATTACTAGAACATGACAATGTAAAACATTTATACCACAGGTTAAGAGAAATCAGAATTATAGCCTTTTCATGCAGTTTCTTTCCCTCTTGTTGACCAGAGTTGCGCTCTGAGATAACTTAATAAAATGTCAGCTGTGTTGAATGTGATGGCTGATCTAACATTTATTCTACTGCTGATCTTGTGTAGCCTGGTTATATCTCCTAATTTGCCTGTTTCCTCTCCAGCAAGATGTTGTTCATCTAAAGTGACATTTTAAGTAAGGTCCGAAGTTCACTTCATTGATCTGAGGGAAGGTTTCTGCTTCGCTTGTCAGGTTTCTGCTTGGCTGGTTCTGCTCTTCATATTTACTCTACATGTTTGCTTCTCTGAATGCTTTACTGATCAATTTCTCTTACTTTACCTCTAAGCCATGAACACGAATCACTGCGTTTAGAAGATTTCAAAAAGTTCACTTGGCAGCGGTATATTCACCTGTTTAGTAGCAGGTGAACTGCAGAACCCTGAGGTGTATTGAATATGGATCTAAATCACTGTTGGAAGTAACGTTTCGCAATTGGGTGATTTTTAACCCATTCTCAAGACAACAAGTGGAAAAATTCAGTGGAGTTTGTTGCCTGGGAAAAAGAAATCACAAAAGAAAAGGATATCTTGCACGCTATCACATCAAAACGTCTCAAAGCACAATTGCTGTCAAGTGTAGTGACTGCTGTAGGCAATTTACGCCGTCGAGGTCCCACAAACAGTTAAGAGGTGAAAGAGCAATTAAACTGGGGGCAGGGATTTCCACTCAGTTCCTGTTAACCCTGCAACCCAAACCCCTAATGGGTAGGGTGGTCCTAGCTGGACAAGAATTAACTAAGCAGAATGCATCCCTCAAGGAGAGCGCACATTCCATCGAAGAATCTCTGGAATTTTCATGTGTAAGTGGGATGCATGGAATTCTCAATCTGAGTTGGATACTCTTTAAACATGGTGATGGGTTTCTACATGTGTCAGACACCCGGCTGACCAAACAAATCTGGAGGTTTATTGGTCAGGACAGTGGGAGAAACTCCTTTTTGTTTTCTCTTTTTAATAATGTCGTAGGATTTTTAATGTCCACCTGAACAAGCAGTCAGGACCTCCGTTTGTTCATATTATCCTAAAGATGGCAAATCCCAACAATGTGTCGTGCTGATCTGCAGTGTCAGGAATAGACTGAGCTCAAATCACGAGGTGGGGCTTGAACCCCAACCTTCTGTCTATGGAGGGATATAGAGCTAAACCTCATCCTGGTTGTCACCTAACTTTCACACATGAACTCTTTACATCAGGGATAGCTCACTGTACAGCTTTCCCCAACTGTTCCAACTTACCTGAACAGCTAGGAGGACACTGACAGTTACAGTTGTTCCATGGACTTTGCAAACTAGAGAGAAAATAGCATCTTTAGAGAGCTGACAGCCTGGCCACAACACTCCAAGATTGATCCGGGACTTCAGCATAGCAATTCCTTATCAATTCCGTTGGATTACATTAACTAAAGATGTGCTCGCCAAAAACAACTACAATATTTCGTTATTGAGCAGACACAGCCTTTGTCGACACTGGAGGTCATTCGGCTATTCAGGACTGCTCCTCCAATTCATTACATCCTATCTCCCTGACTTTTTTTCACGTTGCTTAATACCTCCACAGTATCTGTCTTCACTAAATAATAATAATCCTTGCATTTGATTCTCCAGGGATAGAGGTGGAACGATAGAGACCGGGAGTTCCAGGGGATGGTGGTATGACAACTGAAGGTGAGGACACCAATAGTGGCAGATGTTTTGCTCCAGATTTTGAGAGGTGTGCTTTGGCCGCCCATGGCTTCATGGTCTCAAAAGCAAACAGAAATGGGGATTCCACAAACTAGATGCAACACCATTGTTAAACACACTGCAGAACTGTCTTCCTTAAACCCTCAAACAAGGCTGTCAACAGAGGGAAAACAGAGGGCGAGTGTGCAACTTCTGAGCCGGAAGGTTGTTGGTTCAAGCTCCACGTCGGGACTCGGAATCACATAGTCTAAGCTAACACTCCTATGCAATGCTGGGGCTCTGTTGATTGTCGGATGTGCCGGCCTTCGGATAAGATGTTAAACCGAGGACCCGTTTGCCTGTTCACGTGGAAGTTAAAGAGAAGGGAATTTCTCTCTACAGTGTCCTGCCCAACAATCCCCCAAATAAAATGGGTAAGTCATAAGAACATAAGAAATAGGAGCAGGATTAGGCCATTCGGCCCCTTGAGCCTGCCCGGCCACTTAATAAGATCATGGCTGATCTTCTAACCTAATTCCATTTACCTGCCCTCTCCCCATATCCCTTTAGTTTTTAAAAATCTATTGATCTCGGTCTTGAATATGTTCATTGACTGAGCATCCAACAGCCTTCTGGGGTAAAGAATTTCATAAATTCACTACCCTCTGAGTGAAGAAATGTTTTCTCAACTCAGTTCTAAAAGGCTGACCTTTAATCCTGAGACTATGACCCCTAGTTTTAGATGCTCCAACCAGGGGAAACAGTGTCACATTATCTACCCTGTCAAGACTTAAGAATCTTATAGGTTTCTGTAAGATTACCTCTAATTCTATATTCTAGAGAATATGGGCCTAGTCCACGCAACCTCTCCTCGTAGGTCAAACCCCTCATCCCAGGAACCAACCTAGTGAACCTACGTTGCACCCCCTCTAAGTCGAGTATATCCTTTCTTAGATAAGAAGACCAAAACTGCACACAATTTTCTAGGTGCGGTCACACCAAGACCCTATACAACTGCAGCAAGATTTCCCTACTTTTGTACTCTAACCTCTTTGCAATAAACGCTAACATGCTATTAATCTTTCTAATTACTTAATTTCTAACACTTTCTAGTCTCTCCCACTCTAGAAAATAATCTGCTTTTCTATTTTTTCTACCTAGGTAAATAACTTCACACTTCCCCATGTTATACTCTATTTGCCATCTTCTTGCCCACTCCTTAAAATCACCCACTATTATTGTATAACCCTTGTTACATGCTTCTCTAATTTCCTGATTAATACTCTGCCCAACATTGTAACTGCTGTTTTGGGATATATAAACTACTCCCACTAGTGTTTTCTGCCCCTTGTTGTTTCGTAGCTCCACCCATGCCGATTCTACATCTTGTTTTTCTGACTTAAGATCCTTCGTCTCTACTGTTTTTATCTCATCCTTTATTAACAGGGCTACCCCCACCCACCCCTTGTTTTCCATATTGTCTATCTTTCCTTTACGTCAGGTACCCTGGAATGTTTAGCTCACAACCTTAGTCTCCCTGTAACCACATTCTCAGTAATGGCTACCAGATTGTACCCGTTTATCTCTTATTTGTGCCATTAATTCATCTATCTTGTTACGAATGCTTCGTGCATTCAGGTATAGCGCCTTTAATTTTAACTTTTTGCTATTTCCTCTACTCATTAATGCCCTATTTTCTTTATTAAAGTCTTTGTCCCTACTTGACACACTCTTCTTCATCTCCCAGGTCGCTACTCTGCTCTGCAGCCTTGACTTTTTGTATTCGCTTTGCGAGTCTACATTTAACCGTAACCTTCCCTCCCCCCACCCTTATTACTTTAAAGCTCTATCTTCCTCCCTAATTATTCGTTTTGCCAGGATATGGGTCCCAGCCTGGTTTAAGTGGAGCCCATCCCGATCGAAGAGCTCCCTCTTTCCCCAATACTGGTGCTAGTGGCCCATAAATTGAAACCGCTGTCTCCCACACCACTGTTTCAGCCCCGCATTTAACTCTTTAATCTGCTTCTCCCTGTACCAATTTGCACATGGCTCAGGTAGTAATCCCGACATTATTACCTTAGAAGTTCTGCTTTGTAATTTCATCCCTAGCTCTTTAACCTCCCTCATCAGATCATCATTACTACTACTACCTAAGTCGATGTTTCCTATATGGATCACAATTGGGTCCTCCCCCTCCTGCTCACTCCATGGTTGTTTGTGGGACACTGCTGTGTGCAAACTAGCTGTCGCATTTCACCCAAAACACACAATGATTATTAATAATTATTATTAATAATAATAATATTAGGAATATTGGGTATTGCCTGCTATATAATTATTACTTTGATCATGGTGAATGTCACATTGCAGATGTGTGTGCTGTGTATGTGTACAAATGTAATGCAGATGCAGTTAATAGCACTGAATTCCTCGGTTTGAGAGATTATGTTCAGCACCCCCCCTGGCTTGGCTATAGAGTAACTTCACTGTCTGAAATGTGAAACTGATCCGAGTCAGAATCAAATGCAGAGCTTGGAGCAGCCAAGGCAGGGAGAGACCGGCCTGCAAAAAGGGGAAGAGGAGAATGCAAACAGGGGCAGAGATCAGGTGGCTGTCAGGGGGAGATGTGTACTCAGCCTGGGAGTTAGAGACAGCCGGTTACCCTCCCGAGGAGGCAGCCAGTCTGGAGATACTGCAGTACAGACAGAGAGAGGCCGGAGAGCTCTTCCAGGGTAAGAAATCGCGGGGAAGGTTATCCTCAAGGTCACAGCGCTGCAAAGTGTGTTTTTCTCTTTCAAAAGTGGTGATGTAGATGCCAAGCCCATTGAATTGGTCACAAGATGATGCATTAGGAAGATGTTACCCTAGGGTATATATTTCTCTGGCATTTGTAGCCCGTGCGTGGGCTGTACTTGCAAAGAGTGATGTGACAAATGAGTTGTGGTCAGAAGGAGAGCAGCGATTCTGATAAATCATAACCCACAGACAGTGAGTCATTCTGTTTTTTACTATAAATGTTAATAAAATTGGACGCCAACTTCAGCATGACCTGAAGCACCACACTGAGAAGGGGTGAAGGGCACTCTGGTCATGCTCATCCCCCTTCACGGACAGCGAGGTCCCAATGCAGGTCAAGCTTGTGGCATACAAAACCTGTGTGTAAATATCCTCCTTTATGGATTTGAGGTCCTGCGGATGCAATGAAGAGGCTTCCTCCGACCCATTTGCAAGGTCCGGGATCAGGCAATGAGGTGGATTTGTAACAAACACGGGAAGCGGCTACAGGGAGGGAGGGCTCCGATCTGTCGATGAGCGCCCTGCAGGCACAGGTGGCTTCAAGGCAGCTACATCTATTTGCCAAGACAGTAGCAATGCACATGCATTTCATGCTGAGCTGTGTTGCCACCGGGAAGCTCGCAGGGAGTTCCTTGTATGTACCATCCACCTCGTGAGGCTCAAACCCGCGCTTGTCGGATGTCGAACGACCAACTAGTGACTGTCCTACTTGGGGGGAGGTAAGCAGTTTGGGGGAGGGGAGGGGGGTGGGTGGGCGGGGTACAAGAGGCCTGACCGCCGATAGTGGAGCAGGCAGGGCGGGTGAGGAGAAGGCAGGTTGGTGAAGCTTTAATAGGTCGCAGAGGTAAGGAGGAACAGTAACTTGAAAGTGACCATTCAACATAACATCATCTTGTTGTTTCCAGGGTATTATATCAACACCAAACTCATCGGCTTTGTGTGTGGCACTCGCTCCTTCGCTGACCATCTGACTGACGCCTCCATGAAGGTACACGAAGCTGGAGGGCCCACTGTTTGCATCCACTCTGTGTGTGTGGACGTGACCTGGCGACGCAAGGGAATTGCTCTCAGCCTCCTCCAGCACTACGTCCGTGACATTAGCCAGAACCAAACAGACGTCCATCAGATATGTCTCCTGAGCCACCAGTACCTCCTCCCCCTATACATCAAAGCTGGATTCAGCAATATCGGCCTCTCGTCAGTGGTCCATGGACCTGACAAATGGTACGAATGTATTCTCAACATGGAGCGCTGTTGATGAACGCTCAGAGATTAAATGGCGATGAATTGACTAATAGCTTGGAGTTATCCAGTAGTTTCTATCATAATAATCCTTCCATTTGATACTGTGCCTTATCACGTCGTTGAGACATCTCAAAAGAACTTCAGAATACTGTGGGCTCTATAAAAAGGCTCTCTATATATAAGTAGATTGTACTGTACCAAGGCTCCGGCCTCTTGCTTGTCCCTCGACCGCTTCACCACACCCCGAAACTTTGGAACTCTTTTTCCCTCAATCCCTTCACCTTACCCCCTCACCTACAAGGCCATTCACGGCCTTGCTCCCTCCTACCTCTCCGATCTACTATCCCCCTACCTACCTGCCCGTACCCTCCATTCCTCTGGCTCCGGTCTGCTCCACATCCCCCGCCCCAACCGCCCTACCATCGGTGGCCGGGCCTTCAGCCTCTCAGCCCCGAGGCTCTGGAACTCTATCCCCCAGTGCCTTCGCCGCCTCCTCCCTTTCCTCCTTCAAGGCCGGTCTCAAGACCTTTCTCTTTGACAGTGCCTTCAGCTCCCCTCTCGACTCTCTACCCCCTCCTCGCTCCCTCCCTTCCCTCCCCCTGACCATTTCCCCCCTGCTCGGGTCCTGACCCAACTGTCCAGCGCCTTGGGACGTCCTCCCGACGTCCTGCCCCGCTTGAAGGGCGCCATACAAATGCAAGTTGTTGTAGCAGAGGAACTAACTGGCTATAGTGTGAGTGAAGCAAGGTGTTCAATAAACTCACAAAAAGCTGCACTCTTCGTGCCCCTATCTCAGGAGCTGATGTTTTGGAGCAGAAGAAATTGCTCTGCTGATGCGAAACCAGTATTGACAGGTGCTACATCTCGGCTACAGCCACAGGAGCAGAACAGTATTGATCACCTGCACAAATAGAACAGTGTTGAATAGTACTGGGGAGGGCAATGTGCTCACAGAAGCACTTGCTCAATGCCAGCGCTCCTTCCGCGTGCTTGGACCAGAATAATCACATTCCTTGCATTTTGGTACAGCGCCTTTCACGCTGAATGTCCCAAAGTGCTTCACAGGATATACGATAAAGTGTAGTCACTATGTATTTGTGGGAGAAATGCAGCAGCCAATTTGCACACAGCAATGTCCCACAAATAGCCATGAAGTGAGTCACTAAATTTTATTTGAGGGATGGTTGGCCGTTGGGAGTGAAACTTCCTTCCCTTTTCCAATAGTGCCACGGGATCTTTAATAATGCTAATAATCCTTGTATTTGATATAGCGTTTTATCATGTCACTGAGACGTCTCAAAGAGCATTACAGAATATATTGTGAAGTGATTTGACTGTATTTTGCGAGTAAAATACACCTGAGTAGGCAGACGGAAGCTTGGTTTCACCTCTCATCTAAAGGACGGCGCCTCCATCAATGCAACATCCCCCCAGCAATGCATTGGAGCGTCAACTAGATTATGTGAGTTCCAAGTACCGACGTATTTGGGGGCTTGAACCCCCAAACTTCTGACTCAGAGGCGAGAGTGCTATCACTGTGCCCGGTTGACAGTCCAGCAGGTCCAAAGGCAGCTCCCTGGTAACAAACCTGTGCACACAATGTGATTAGTACATTGAGTTTATTGCATTTGAACCGTACGCAGCAGAATCGTCTGTCTTCACACAGCCTCCAGAAGCAGAACCTGTTCGCTGCGTGGATGCAGGCTTTCACTGAGGTACAGATTGATCGAGTGCTGGATATTTAGTGTTGTTGCTGGAGATAGAAGCTTCACAAAACACAGCTTTAATATAACTCTCCCATAAACTCACACAATGTTAAACAAGGATGGGAACAGCATCACACACCAGCTTTAACAAACTTTCCTTCCAACTTTTACCCCACGTTTCTTCTGACTCATGTTAGGGTACGGGGACGGAACAACAGCTCAAAAAGTCAATGTTCAAGCCTAAAAAAATATGCTTCCCCCAGCATGGAAATGTCAGTGATCAGGAAGCAGGTATTTCGTTGTTGTTCCGTCCCCAATCTAGGAGCAGAAATGAACATTTACTACTTGCCTATAGCTGAGCTGACTCGGCCAGACCAGGGATTTTTCTGCTCTGTGTGGTGCATTTGCCCTCTGGGTGAAATATTAACCAAACGAGGCAATGAGGGTCGGGGGGGAATAACATTTGCACTCCTCTGTAACCCCATGCCAATTCTGCATGTTAAAGGGGTGGTGTGAAGAGGTGCTCACTCCTGATCGCTACCGCTGTGAAAGGCTGATTGTGCAAATAGTCCTTTGGGATTTGCCGTCTTCGGCCAAATAGAGTTCTAGCTCTGAGCTCTGGCTCACGTCTGGGTGAGGAACCAGGAGGTGCCTGTGGATTGGACTCCAGTCAGAGCTTTCAGGAAAGGAGGAAAATTAGAATTTAAATAAATGTAACAAGGGAGGTTTTTTTTTCTTAATCAGGAGGAATTCTTTCACACCGAGTTGTTAGGTTGTGGGCCGCTCTCCTGGGAGTAACGCATACCACACATCTAAAGAGGAGTCATGTGCAGGGGTGTGCAAGGGTGGGGAGGAGGCATGGAAATAGGACTCAATGGCTAACTCTTTCAAAGAGCTGAGCTATCTTCTGTGCTGTAAATTTCTATGGTTCTGAAAGGGCGACTGTCCTTATGACAAAATTTTGTCCAGCAATAAAGGAGAAGTGCAGGACAGGTGTGCAATTGTTGTCACACTGATATTGCGCACAAGTGACACGATGATGCTTTTGAACACAGTTGACTTGACTGCATCCTGTTTAGGAACCTAGGAATAGGAGGCCATTCAGCCCCTCGAGTGTGATGGCTGATCTGTACCTCATCTCCAAATACCCATCTTTGCCGCATATCCCTTGATACCCTTACCCAACAAAAGTCTATCCACCTGTCTTGTTTGTGACTTAGACAGGTCCCACTTCAACCTGCTAATTAAACAGCAGCACCAACACTCCCTTAGATAAGGGGGAATCACACAGAACGTCAGCAATCCCTGATCTAAACAATCTACACTAGTCGGCATCACCTCTCTAAATTACTCTGTAAAACACTAGAAGAAGCTGATAACGTGGGTTTGGAAGTCAGTTTGAGGAGGTTTAATCTCCCGGTCGGTCTGAGCACCATCAGTCCTGGAGAGCGGCACAAACCATACAGACTCCAAGATCAACAGTTCAATCCTCCCTGTATATTGAGGGAGCTGGTCCCAGCTTAGGAGGTTAGTTAGGTTTGCTACTGGCTCTGTTGTGTCCTAGGCTGGGGTTAGTCCACTGATCCCTATTCAATGTCCCCCCCACCCCGAGTTCTGCGTGTATGAGCAACTACAGGGTGTCCTCAAAGACCTGTTACCCCATTACAAAACAGTGATATGAGACTATGGAGAGGAGCTGAACCAAGCCGTCAGAGATGCACTTCGGCTCGTCACTCCGTCCATGTTACGCTCCATCAATGTGGCACCGAACATGACGAAGGATCATTATCTGCCATGAAAACGATGGCGCTCTCTCACACTGTCCCCTGGACGTCTGAATCCACTTAAACACTGACTATAATTATCAATCTCAATCCACTACTGTTTGTGGGCCACTGCTGTGTACAATTGACTGCCGTGTTTTGCCCACAAAATATACAGTGTATTCTATGAAGCGCTTTGAGACATCTCGAAGACATGATAAGGCGCTATATCAAATTCGAGGATTATCATTATGATGAAGAACTTCTAAATACAATTATCATCATTCTTCCATGTTTCAGTTGTTGGTCAGTGTACTGTAGAGTGTGTGGGGGTGGGGGGTGTAATAATAATAATAATCATCCTTGCATTTGGTATAGCGCTTTTCACGTCGGGAGGACATCCCAAAGCGCTTCACAGAACACACTGTAAAGTGAATTGACTGTATATTTGTGGGCGAACGCGGCAGCCAATTGCGCACAGCAATGTCCCACAAACAGCCGTGGATTGAAAATGACCAATTTATTATTGTTTTTGGTTTTGGAGGGATTATTATTAGGCTCTGTGTGGAGTAAGGAAACTTGCCCAAGGTTTCGCCCTCTGCCTGGAATTGAACTCAGGTCTCTCACTTACAAAGCGAGTGCTCTAACCACTGAGCTACAGGACTCCAGATAGGACTTTGTGGACACTATGTACAGTATATTGAGTTTCCTCTACAGTCGAATAACAGTGACGCATAAATAGGTAGCACTGTGGAACCACCCAATTATGAGACAGCTCCTACACAAGAGGAGCACATTTCTCTCTCTCTCTCCTTCCAGAGCCCAAGATGTTTGAATATCTTGCTGTTCACATCCCTGGTTACAAAAGAACACTTTGTTCATAAATTTCAGTGAACAGAAACTCTAAATAAAGATTTTCCCTTACCCTCCCCTCCTGTCCAGGTTTAACCCTTTAACCCAGCATATATTTGCTCAACAAGGCAAGGTGTCTTTGGGTGCGTGTCTCATTAATCCAAGTAATACTCTATAATTATGAACTAATACCAGGGGATGCATTAGATTGCAGAGCTGTGGAGACCAAGCACAGTGCAGGCAGCTGCATTAAACCTGACCATGTCCAAATAACTGTGCACAGCGACACAACACATACCGTGACTAGTGCTTAAACCTTTAGCCTGCTGATTAACTCCAAGTGATGCTAGTGCTTTGACGCGTATTGTGCTGAATTAACATACTCGGATGTACAACAATTCTGGCAAGTTTCCAAATCTAAACTTTGCTCAATAACCACCAACTCCACCCTGTTAACAGTCAGTAACCATCATCTTAGTAGTGAATAACCAGGACAGTTATACAGGGAGTAACCTGTACCTTAGTGAATAAACAGGTTTTTTTTCTTTAGTTACGCAGCGAGTAACCTCTCCTGAACAGACACAGAAGTTCTGAATGATTACACAACAATTAATCCTCGCCTTGCTGAATACACAAACCGTAGTTATACAGAGCAAATTCTGCTTCCAGTATTTTCAGACAGTACGTTTACAAAGTAAGTGTTTACAAATTAAAGAGTTAAACCTTAAGGTTTCCTTAAAAGAGGAAGGATTGGTACAAAAGTTCAAAAAGTGCTACAAAGCAGTTTTAAGGACAGGTTTTAAACACAACGCACACAACGAGAGGGTTTCTTCTGAAAAGAAAGAAAAAAAATGGTGTGCTTTTGTTTTCACATAGTCAGTTCTGGTGACACATTTTACAAAGGCTCGATATTCCTTTGTGGTGCATGTCTCATACACCATGTATTGCCAGCTAGTGTATAGTTCGTGACTTCTCATCCCAGGTTTGTACAGTATAAAAATAGAATGATTTGTTTGGGTTAAAAGGGAAACATTTAATAATAATAATCCTTGCATTTGATACAGCGCTATCTCATGACGTTGAGACGTCTCAAAGCGCTTCACAGAATATACTGTAGTGAATTGACTGCGTATTTTGTGGGCGAACCGCGGCAGCCAATTACGCACAGTAGCGTCCCACAAACAGTCATGGATTGAGTGACCAAATTATTATTTATCTTTTTTAATACGACCTATGCAAAGTGTGAGTTATGGCAAACTTGCATAAGTCATATCATATGATTTCCGTAAAGTTATGCATAAGTCAGATTTTATATGACTTACACAGAACAAATACTGCACAAAACGATGAGGGGATGAGGGCAAGTTTAGAGCACAGCAGACACTATTGCCTTAAACACGCTGCCAGACATTTGACATATAATATATAGTGCATAGTTTATTTCATTCTCAATTACTTACTCTTATTTACTGGCAGTGTATTGCTGAGTGTATCAGAGGTGCGGTGATGTAAGCAAGATGGCGATACGTACAAACTAAAAGGCATCTGTCACGTCTGGTTACGAGAGACTTGTCCTTTGACAGGGAAGTAAACCATATACTACATACGCTTTTTTTATATATATAGATATATATTTATATACAAAATATATAAGCAATAAAGTCCAAAGATCAATAGCACAATTAGGAAAGAAGAAAAATACTGTATTCGAATGTATGTGTTGAGTGTGTTACTGTGTGGGATTTGCGGAGATGTGTTTAGTGTTCATGTGGACGTGGTGTTTCTAACTGAGTATTATCACAGCCCCTGGAGATCAAAGGGCACATCAAAGATCAAAGACAAGTTATCACATAATTCTCGGTTGTCCCTGGCTTCTAACGCGTTACTTTTAGAAGCTGCTGGTTAGAGGAATCTTGACAGCCAATATTGAAATGGAATATAAAAAATACACCAGGAAAGATGGCCATTAACCCTTCAAGTCCACTTTTTTCGGTAGTCTGCAGCTCATTCCAGTAACTCATTCGCTCTCTCCTCTCACTGTAGTTTGAATAACCCCTGATGCTTTATGCCTCCTTTGCCTCACTTGGGTCGACAGCCTCAAATCTCAAACGATTCGACCGTTAGGAAAGAAAATAACAAGATCAAGCTTGTGAATTTTCTCCCCAGCCCCTGGTACAACAGCCCAGATGCGAGCTTATTAACCCAATCTTACATTTCTATCCTGTTGCAATCCACGGACCTATCTACACTAGAATCCTTTCATTTAATCCATTATTCAATCATCCTTGCGGTGTCTCTCCAGATAACCCTCAATGGTGCTCTTAAAAATATATTTGTTATGATTGGGAGCATGGACGGACCACAGCCATCATCCCATTCACTAGGGCTCAACTCAATGAGGGCTGATGGCAGCATTGGTTTTTTTGGTCGGCCGGGTGTCTGACACATGCAGAAAATCATCACTGTTGCTTAAGAGCATCCAAACCAAGCTGAGGATTCCAGGCATCCCACCTACACATGGAAATCCCAGGGAGACTGTTGGAATGGAATGCGCACTCTCTCCCTGGAGGGACGCATCCTGTTTACCTAATTCTGGAAAGTATTAGGTACAGGTTTGTAAGAGCCAAGGCTTGGAGACCCCAGAGCGTGCGTTGGGGTGACTGCTGTAGTCTAACCAGCTAAAACCGCATAGCTTGCCATTGATTTAACTAGCAGCATAAGGTAATGAGGACTGAAGGAGTCAGAGTGAGATGGAGAGGAAATACTGGGGTGAACCCCCATCTCTTTAAGCAGGAAGGTCTTTTTCTACTGCTCTACTCTGAGCTGTTTGAAAAGCAGCAAGGATTGAATCACACATATATAAACATACATGAGACTCTCCTCAGGTTGCAACTGTGCAACCGTGTGGGGCGAGAATACCATAACAATGTAACGCTCAGCTAACATCGCTGTGTGCAAACTGGCTGCCATGTTTGGCTAACAAATACACAGTCACTACACTTCACAGCAAATTCCGAAAGTGCTTTGAGACCTCCTCCGGAAGTGGAAAGCGCTGTATCAAATGTAGGGATTATTATTATTAATAATATTAATATCTTTTATTTAACAATATTATTCGGTGGGTCTGTTAATAAGATGGGTGAGTTTTCCAAAGGCCAGTCTGGGCATTAGAAGCTGCACTAAGTGGAGTTGGGGATGTTTCTCAGAGGGGGGAAAGAGGAAGGTCTTGAGACGGGATTTGAAGGAGGCGAGGGAGGGGGCGAGGTGGAGGGGCTCTGGGCTGACGTTCCAGAGGGTGGCGGCAGAAAGCCTGACCACCAATGGTAAGGAGGGCAGGGTGGGGGACGTGAAGCAAGCCAGTGCCTGTGGAGGGAGCGACTTAGGCAGGGATTCCACCCTTACAGCATCAACCAAATCTCATCCTACCCTCAACAATGTAAACGCACACAGACACCTTTTGAAGCAGGTTTCACTGAATGATGATCAGAGGCAGGAATTGGTTGTTTTGTCCACTCCCTGGCTCAGGGGCTCTGAGGCCAACGCCACCAGCCCTCCTGTCAGCCAGCTAAGACGAGTACTGATTCTGAGAACGTTCAGGTGTGGATGGCTCAGTTTTATTTCAATCCAGGGGCTCATTCGGAGAGATATAAAGACCTCTGTCCTTTGAAAGTCAATGTCTGCCCCATAGTCATTGAGGTAAAATGTGTCTGAAGCCTCCCTGAGGCTTGAGTGATCCTCATCACATCACTGAGACAGGGTTATGGTGGCCTCTGACCCTGCTGACAAACAGCCCGCACTCCCACTGGGATTCCCAACAGTTTGTGATCTCCTGGGTATGCACTTGTGAGAATTCCTAAAATCAACTCGAATGGTACAATCCCAATGCGTCTGCATCTCTATAACGTCCCAACTGATATGTCTCTGTTCAAGGGTGAAGAGCCCCGGCTTGTCTTTACTATTGCTCACAGCTCATTCCTCTAACACTGAATTTAGCCTCACTACTCTCCTCTGCACAGCCTCTAGAGCCTGGGCAGCCCCCTTATATCACTGTGACCAGAGCTATGTGCAGTACTCAAGCTTTGACCAGAGCACTATACAGCCTGAGTATGGTGTCTGGGGATCTAAACTCAACCAATTTAGCAATCTAGCCCAGCATCCTGTTTGCCTTGTTTATTGCTGCCTCACACTGTTTGACACAGTGAGCGACAAGTCAACTGACACTCCTAGATCTCTCTCAGATTCCCCCTCGGTGCGTTCTATCCCATCCATGGAGGACTTGTGTTTCCTAGTATTGGATCCTATATAATTGAACCTTATTTGCCAGTTATCAACCCATGTACATACCCTATCAAGCTCTCTATGTCGGGCCTTTGCTACCACCTGATTCCAGTTTCCCCAACTTGGCAAATATGACTCTTACACTGGGTCTGCAAATCCAGATCATTAACATATACCAGCCAGGCAGGTATTAAGCGGAAAGCCGCAGGTCATTCATATATATATATATGAAATATCTCCAAAGGCACCCCTCCTGTTCCTTGTATATATTAATGACCCCAGACACCCTGCTTCATGCCTCCCTGGCTTGTCTCCCCAAAATCTTCCATCATCCTCAAACACACAATAGTTTACTTTTGTTCTGATCATTTTACAAACTTTCTGAATTCAGTGTGGAAAGTTATTTAGTGCTGAGGTACAGGCGGTGGGGAACAGCAACTGAGGTACAGGCGGTGGGGAACAGGAACTGAGGTACAGGCGGTGGGGAACGGGAACTGAGGTACAGGCGGTGGGGAACAGGGGCTGAGGTACAGGGGTTGACTCCGGCTGGGGGATGGTTCCCACACTGGGAATTTGCTCAAATTTTGCTTGTAAACCACGCGATGTGGGCGAGAGGGGGGAGAGAGAGAGTCTTTCTATCAGGCACTCATCACTAAAACCACTGCCGCTTTAATACTTGCTTATTAACGAGAATGAAAAGATCCTCCTATTTAGCGACTGTCACATGATTTTTCATCTCTGGCCGGCAAACCAGACGCTGTATCATATGACACTTTCGAGCGGGGTGGGGAGGGAATGGGGGAGGGACACCGGATAGCAAACATGAGCCTGTTTCTCTTTCCGCAGAGCTGACAGTAATGGCCCAGCTTAGTTTGAAACCTGGCACTGCCCTGCTCAGTACGGCCCAGTTCCCTTTGCCTCCTTTCCTCCCTGTCCTCTGGCCATGGCTTTACCTAGTATACCTGCTTATCTGCTCTTTACACCTCTCTTCCCGTCAACGCAAAGGCGACACTCCTAAGTTGAATGGGCAAATGGAGGGAAAGGAAGAAAAATAAGTTGAACAGTCAGAGCGAACAAGGATTTCAACTCCTCAGTGCTGCAATATTCCATTTTCAGGCTGATCTAACGCAGAATTCTCAATCTCACCGCTGTGTCTGGGGTTTGTGAACAAAGGGAGATAACTAAAGACAGAGGAGGTCCCTTTCCTTAACACAGGCTCTCGACACTGAGGGATCCTCAGAGCTACTCGCTTTCACAAGACAAAATGCAACAGTGACCTGTTGTGACGTGAGCAGATGATTGATAAGGATTTTGTGTGAGATCGTTATATATATATATATCTAGTGAATTTATAAACCTGAATTATTCTTCGCTGAATAGAATTTTAATCTAAAACTCTCCCGATAAGTGTTTTGTTTTTTTTTGTTTAAAACTCCCTGTACAGATGCTAAACAAATAAGCTTGCTTGCTTGTGCTTGTTCGAGATACAAAATATGTGTAGTTTACAAGTTAGAGACGGGGGTGACATTATATCAATTCTATTCACACAATCGGCAAAAAAGTATTTACAGATTGACATTTGGAGCCGGGGTGAGCGAGTGGGTGCTCGCTGAGGGCCCATCACGTCATTTGATGAGGAGCCTCGAGCATCTCCATCAGGAAGGTGTCAATGGGCGTGTCGCCGATCAGCTTGAAGAAGAAAAGGTGCTCCAGGCATTTGAGTCCAATTGATCGCAGTGCCGGCAGGCGCAGGAGCAGCTTAGCGAACCTGGAGAGAGAGAGAGAGAGAGAGAGAGGAGAGTGCCGCGGAGATCAGCGTTTCACAAGGTCACAACATGGAACAGGGTGTAGCAACTCCAGCGCCTGTGGGCAGGGCTAGCACTCGCCAGAAACACTTGCTCCGCCCCAAAGGACACACCAAGTGCCGATCCCCAATTCCCATCCAAAGTAATTCAAGTCTGTTCCGCAAAGGACACCAATCCAGAGAGAATCATTCGCTGCCAACTTTAGAAAATTGAAACATTGAACATCGAAACGTAGGGATGTGTAGCGCAGAAGGAAGCCATTCGGCCCATCGAGTTCTGCACCGAGCAAGGAGATGACTTCAATCCCACCGCCCCATCTTATTCCCAAACTGCTTCAAGCCAACTGTGGACCACTCTCTGGGGGTAAAAATTCATTCCCAACGTAGAGAATCCCAATGGACCAACTCCCCTTCTCTAACTTCTTTGCTGCTGGTCTATTACACTGGAATAACATGCAGCAAAGGATCCATCAGGTCTTGTTCAAATGCGGTCAAATGGTGATATATTGGAACTAAAACCAAGGTGTGGAGTGGCATTGACAGGGAGCGTCCTATAGAACAGGGAGGGGCGGAGGGAAAATTAATCATTCCATCACTCTGGCTCTCTCCAGACCCCCAGTGTGCACAGCAGTGAGAGAGGGAGATGACAGATGATTTGCTTAGTAATTGAATACATTTAATGTTATGGTTATGATGTTGAGAATGTCTCGAAGAGCTTCACACAAGATACTTTGAAGCGATGTGACTGCATTAATGGGGGCAGGTACATTAACTAATCTACATGAAGAGCACTGAGACGGATGACTGATTATTATTGATTTGCTTTGGAGGGTGAGTGCACAGCCGTGCACAGCTACAAACAGAAACAGACACAAACTGTCCGCAGTCCTTACCGGCCGGGCTGTTCGGGGTACTTGTGTTTTGTGTAGGCTTCTAGCGACGCGTAGACCTTTTCCCTCAGAGATTCCACCTCTCCTGGGTTTGTCAATCCTTTAGCATCTGAAGAATGAGTTAAAATATTAACATTCAATGGATCAAAACCTTAAACCCTTCCCATTCACTCCCATTGTAGAGAATCCTGGCCAACAATCCCCCAAATAAAATTGGTCGCACTTTCCATGGCTGTTTGTGGGACATTGCTGTGCGCAAATGTGCTGCTGTGTTTGCCTACAAAATGAGCAATCACCCCGTTTCACAGTAATTCCTATGAAGTGCTTTGAGACATCCTTCCGACGTGATAAAATGCTATACCAAATGTTCCATTGGGATTATATATATATATAATCCCAATGGAACAAACCCCCTCCCATTCATTCCTGTTGCAAAGAAACCCAATGCACCAAACTCCTTGCTATTACATACAATCCTAATAATAATACTCCTTGCATTTGACATAGTGCCTTATCATGGCATTCAGATGTCTCAAAGAGCTTCACAGAATGTATTGTAAAGTGAATTGACTATATATTCTGGGAGAAACACAGCAGCCAATTACGTACAGCAGTGTCTCAATCCTGATCCAGCAATAAAGTATCTCCAGAATTACCCAGGGTTATTGCTGCTCTACAAACCTCAATCAATTTGCAGGTAAGAATGGACTTGGTGCTCCTGTCACTGATCTGCTCATATTAATGGTTAGTTATTAACAACTTCCCAAACCTTCCCATGGGCTGGCCAGAGTGGTGAGCCCGTGCTGGTGGGTATAACAGAGCACTCACCGGGATTGAAGAGAACGATGGCTCTCAGGCAGCCCAGCTCAGTCTTGTCCATCTGCATGTCCTTCATCTTGGAAACCAACTCTGTCAGAACTCTGCCCGGAAACAGAAGGAGGCAGTGACTCGCGATCACCTACACAGGCAGCCGAGGGGCTGAGTAACACAGTGAGCAACTGAATGGCTGGTCATTGGCGGGCTGAAGCCAAAAATAATCCACAAGGGACTTTCGTTAGACCCTGACACCATGTTGGGGAGAGTCCAGGGACCTTTACACTATATATAACCTGTAGCTGATCTGGGAGTGTGGACAAACAGTGTAGAGAGAGCTTTACTATGTCTGTAACCTGTGCTGTGGCTGACCCAGGAGTGTGGACGGACAGCGTAGAAGGAGCTTTACTCTGTCTCTGACCCTTTAGTGGCTGACCCGGGAGTGGGGACAGGACACTGGATTCCAAAAATTGAAAAGTTGACTGGGAGTGGCAGCTGAGGCTGAGGGGATGTGGAGCTGTACCTGTCAAATATGGAGCCCACGCCTGCACTGTGGGCGCTACTGCGGTGGACGTGGAGACCTGTGGCCAGGAGGATACCGTCCTTCACTGAGATAGACCGATGGGAGAACGAGGCGATCAGCAGTTCGTTCCAACCTACAGAGAGAATCCAGTCAATCACTCTGTCCCTGTGTCCCTCCCCGCCCCACACCCCAACCCCTGCCACTGCCCATTAAACCCCAATGGCCGAAACCACCTCCCAATTATTATAATAATAATCATAATAATCCTTGCATTTGATATAGCACCTTATCACATCATTGAGAAGTCTCCCAGCGCTTCACAGAACATACTGTAAAGTGTAGTCACTGTGTATTTTGTGGGCGAAACATGGCAGCCAATTGCGCACAGCAATGTCCCCAAACAATCGTGGATTGAGTGACATTATTATTATTATTATTATTTTAGATGGATTATTACCCCCGGAAAGTGATCAGGCAAACAACTAACAACCGGCTTACTGCAAGGTAAGGGGTGTGAAGTAAGGAAATTGGCCTAGGGTTTTGCCCTGCTTGGGAATCGAACCTGGGTCACCTTGCTTGTGAGGCAAGCGCCCTAACCACTACGCTACTCGACTCCACAAAATAGAGTCAAGAGAGAACCATTGTTGCAGTCAGTGATCTAAATGGAGCTAATTGTTGACAGGGAAGGACTTTTGGTTGGAAGAGTTGTATTAAGAGCGAATACACTGTGCTGCTGGGCTGCTGGAATGGGCCCAGCAGAGTGCTGAGGCTGCTGGAACGTTTTAAAGCACAGGTCCACATGAGATTTTTGTTTTTAGAGTAAATTACCAACATGTTTTCCCCCGAGTTTGCTGATGCTGTGGAACGCTGGCTTACCCGCCCGTAGGAGAATGACCTGGTCGTCCAGTGGGAGGTCGGAGAAGTGCGGGATCCTCTTGGCCCACTCCACCAGCGTGAACAGCTGCTTGTCAGCCGCCTGGCAGATGTTGGTCACGGGATCGTTCGACTTCACAGGATGAAATGAGAGAGAGAGAGATAGAGTGTTGCTCATCACAGATCCAATACGCCCACCGGAATCCGGTAACCGGTAAGACTGTAACACCAAAACATCTCCCATAATAATATTAATAATCCTTGTATTTGATATAGCGCCTTATCATGGCTGCCGCGTTTACAGTCAATTCACTTTACAGTATATTCTGTGCAGGACTTTGAAATGTCTCAATGACGGGATAAGGCACTGTATCAAATGCAACTATTATTATTATTTGGGACCTTGGTGCACATGAGCCTACAGTAGCCGCTATCGTCACTAGATGGCGTCCCAGGCTGGCATGCTCAGTGACTACGTAAGATGGCAGGGCGAAACCTTGGGCAAGTTTCCTTACTCCACACAGAGCCTAATAATAATCCCTCCAAAACCAAAACAATAATAAAATTGGTCATTTTTAATCTACGACTGTTTGTGGGACATTGCTGTGCGCAATTGGCTGCCGCGTTCGCCCACAAATATACAGTCAATTCACTTTACAGTGTGTTCTGTGAAGCGCTTTGGGACGTCCTCCCGACGTGAAAAGCGCTATATCAAATGCAAGGATTATTATAAGGATTATTATTATTAAGATGAAGTAATCAATAACCTTATCCTGATTTTCCAATGCCAGATACAAGCACATTGTTTGGGCGTGATGATTTTAAATGGCTCCAATTCAGTGTAAGATTCCTGCCCAGCTTACTGCCACTTTCGCTCTCCCTGGACACTTGGCCATGTAGAAAAGTGTCTTGCCTTGCGATTTCCTTCCACAATGACACAAGTACCCAGTGCCCATCCCCACTCTGCTCACCTCACTCATTCTCACTTCCCTTACTCCAGTTACTTTGGCCCACCCCACCATCGGCAGTCGGGCTTTCAGCCTTTCTGCCCTACATTCCCCTCGCCTTGCACCCCCCCACCCCTTGCCAACTTCAACGCCCGTGTCAGGACATTCATCTTAGTGCCTTTGGTCACCCTCCTACCCCTATCCTCCCTGCCCTCCACCCCTACTGATCCCAACCTCAGCTCGTGTCCAAATCCTTGACTGACCAACGCCTTGGGACGTCCTCCCGACGTGAAAGGATGCAGTATGAATGTAATTTGTTGAAGGCAGAAAACTTCTGCTAATGTCTCCTATCGTTTGTGGTGTTCAGTCATTCCTGTGTGCCATTTCACTCTCTGCGAATGTTATGACATGCTCACACATTCACTACAGACAGTATGATGCATTCGCTGCAGTGTGGGTAAAATTTCACCCGGGGTTGAGATCAACTCGATTAACATAACATTTCTTAGACCAGGGTTTGGCAAAGTGATTCCAGGCTTCACTTTGAAGTGGGTTTTCTCTTGATAACTTACAGAAAAAGGGTTCAAAATGAAGGCTGCATTGACTGCATTTGCCAAATTCTGGAACCTTTAAAATGCTTCGGGTAAATGTAGACCTGGGTGCACTCTTTGCCCACAGGGGGCAGACAGACACTATGCTGAGGTTACTTATCTCACTGCTCGCAACTGCTGTCCTTTATCCAGTGATCCTTGCTGGAGAGTGTATGTGTGTACCCCAGGGTGGGGGAGACTTGACTTTAAACAAACAAGACCCTACGTCATATAATACTACTACTACTAATAATAATAACAATAATCCTTGTATTTGATAAAGCGCCTTATCATGGCATTAAGCTTCACTGCCTCAAAGAGCTTCACAGAGTATATTGTAAAGTGAATTGACTGTCGATTTTGTTGGAGAAACGTGGCAGCTAATTGCACACAACAATGTCCCACAAACAAATGTGGGCTGATTGACCCAATTTTCTTTGGAGGGAGCATTACCCCTGGAAAGAGACAAACCAATCGACTAACAACCAGGTTCCTACTTATTGCTAGGTAAACAGAAGTTTGTGGAGTAAGGAAACTTGCCTTAGGTTTCTCCCTGCCCATGAATATCCGGATAGCACCCACTAGCTTGGGTCAGACATGAAGGTTAGTCAGAGCCATGTGATTCTTGGGCTCATGACTATCCTTCTTTGGGCGAGGGTAAGCTTTTTTGAGCTGAACTGGTGCCAAGGTGTCATGTTTGACAACGAAATGTCGGAATCGAGCCAGCTCTCAATGACGGTCTCCAGTCCGGTTCCTGAACCAGGTGGGTCCGCAGTTCTCCTGGGCACTGCTGATGATAGCACAGCCCAGCCTGGCTCATTGGCAGGCATTTGAAGGGCAGACCAGTCACTGGGGGCAGGGAGTCATCTCACTCAGCTCTTGTTAACCCTGTAAACCAAAGTCCGAACGGGTAGGGTGTTCCTAGCAGCCCAAAAGCTTGCTAGACAATGACATCTATGGCAAGCTGTGCAGTCTTAGCTGGTTAGACTCCAGCAGTTACCCCAACACACACACTGGAGTCCCCAAGTCTTGGCTCTTGAGGGGTTCCTGTGTGTGTCAGACACCCGGCTGAGAAAACGAAAAGTTTGTGTGTGTGTGTGTGTGGGGAGAATGAACATGTGCAGGTCTGTAGAGCGGGATTAGATGGCTTGCCTGGCAAGTCATGTTGCCCTGGCAACCCAAGGCCGTTAAAGGAACGGTAAACAGGATAAATGTCAGCGCCGTGGTCTCACTGAGCAGACTGGCTGGCTTCCACTGCCCGGGGAGCGAGGAGACGAGCAGGCATTTAATCCACTTTGGATCATCTGTCAAAACGCTTTTTCGTCAGCGGCACTCACCTGTTCACAGCTAATTGAAGACATTGATTGCTGATCAGCGACTGTCCATAAAACAGGCACAATCGATGTCTTCAATTAGCTGTGAAGCCCTGGAGTGGGCAGCCTGTGGGGTGTGGGCAGACCCCAGCCGCAGACTACTACTACTAATAAAAATCCTTGCATTTGATATGATACCTTATCATGTCGTTGAGACGTCTCAAAGTGCTTTACAGAATTACTGTGTATTTTGTGGGTGAAACGCGGCAGCCGATTGCACGCAGTAGTGTCCTACAAACTATTTTGGATTGAGCGACCATGTTATTATTATTATTTTTTTTGAAGGGATTATTCCTCCATGGAAAGCGATCCGCCAAGCGACTAACAACCCGGTTCCTATTTACTGCTAGGTAAACAGAGGCACGTGGAGTAAGGAAACTTGCCTAAGGTTTCGCCCCATCTGGAAATCGAACCCGGGTCGATTTCCAGATGGGGCGAAACCTTAGGCAAGAATACCAAATGCAAGGATTATTATTACCGTTATTATCATTTTGTTAAAGCACTTCACAGGATTTTACTCTAAAGTGTAGTGACTGCATACTTTATCGGTGAACACAGCAGCCAATTTGCTCACAGCAACAACCCACAACAAAAGTCATTTTATCTGGGGCTTGTTGGCCAGGACATCATGAGAGAGAAACTCACTGCTCTTTTCAAATAGCTCTATGGGATCTCTAACGTCCACCTGATCAGGCAGACGGCACCTCCGACAATGCTGCGCAGCCCCCAGAACTGCACTGGAGTGTCAGCCTGGACTATGAGCTCAATGTCCTGATGTGGGGCTTACAACCTTCTGACCCAGGTGACAAGAGAGATACCCACTGAGCCAGGCTGACATCAGGCTCAGACGTTGAGGAACAAATGACGGAAACAGTGACGTTACATCCTCTGTCTCTGTCCTAAACTCAAGTGGAATCAAGCCGACACATGCCATCTATGTGGAAAAAACGGGTGAGCGGGCGAGAGAATGTTCTCGGTTGCCACGGCAACCCCAGGCCCATATTTTCACGCTCCAGCAGCCTTGCTTTAGTTTATCCTGGGCCGATGAGCCATTCCCTATCCTTCAGGTTAAAGATGCGGAGAAAAATCTACTCGCGAGCCAGTGAACCAGTGAAAGCAGCTCTGTGCGGACGGAGTGGGATTGAGCTGAGCTGTGAAATGATTTCACCATGAAATGATTGCTGAAATGGAGCGGTGTGGACAATCGCCGTGAGCGAAGGAACTCGTACATGAGCTTATTACCTAGCACAGCGGGAACACACAAACCTGCCGTTAACTGGTTTTACGTGTAAAACTGAGCCAAGTGTATAATAATAATAGTAATCCTTTCAGAGACGGAGAGGAATAACCCCCTTATTTCCCCTTCAGGTGGGAATTATGGGGGTTATTCCCCCCACAGAACGGGTCAGTAACTGACGGATCGCTTTCCGGGGTAACAATTCCTCCACAAAAAAATGTGATCGCTCAATCCGCAACTGTTTGTGGGACACTGCTGTTCCCAATTTGCTTTTGCGTTTCGTCCACAAAATACACAGTCACTCCACTTTACAACACGCTCTATCAAGAGCTTTGAGACGTCTCCACGACTTGGTAAGGCGCTATATCAAATGCAAGGATTATTATTATTATTTTCATGTGGAATCCACAGACAGATAAAGAGGGGGCGAAGCGGAGCGATTGAGACGGAAAGTTCCAGAACTTCCTGATTAAGAAAGTTTCCAAATGAAAACCATATTTCGGAGCGTTTCACAATTATGCATGGTCTTCCGTTTTAACACAAAGGTCTCCAAGGCAAGAACAGGAGAAACTGTGTTTTGTGGGGAGGGTTTCAGCACAGAGTACACTGTCACTGTGCAATGGACACTGAGGCACAAAGTGTTAGGTTACACAGCAACGACATCTCTCACAACTTCCCAAAAACATAAACAGAGCAATCTTATCGTTCTCTTTTATACAATCTCATCACATTACCCTGAGCTGGTGTCTTTGATGAGAGCTGGAGTGGCTCATTCTCTGAGATCCTTTGGGAGTTGTGGTTGGGGTGGGGGCGAGTGAGTGGGCAGGTCCCACGGGGCGGGGGGCGCGGGGGGGGGGGGAGAGGGTGCAGGGAAACAAGAGCGAACTCGGAATGATGTCCACACCGAGGGAGTAGAGAGAGGAAAAGCGAATTGTAAAAAGTCAAATGAATACTGTTTCTTACTGTAATGAGAAATAGAGGTGGAAGGGAATCTCTACACACCGAATTGCCTAGACTGGCTTCCACGTAGGCCTCTGTCTTTGGTTCCACCGCCAATTCCGCGTCTAGAATCTTCTCCACTGGCATGTCGTCGTTGACGCTGCTGGTGGACTCCACCTCGTTGTCAAGCCTTTCCTTCCCCCGCTGCCGCTCCTCCTGAACAGCTGAAAGACACGCAGTCCGTTACCAATCACCCCTCAAACCTGCTCCACACGCAAGTATAATAACCCTTGTCTTTGATATCGCGCCTTATCACATCATCGAGATGTCTCAAATCGCTTTGCAGGATATACTGTAAAGTGAATTGACTGTATTTTGTGTGTGAAATGGCGCAGCCAATTGTGCACAGCAGTGTCCCGCAAACCAGTGGCCCTCTGGCCTCAACATTGATTTTAACCTCTTCAGACCTTAAACACAGCTCCTATCTTCTCTCAGCCTTGCCTCCCGCATCTCTCTCTTCTATAACCATTCACACATCCACTTGGTTCTCAGACACCTCTTTTCTTTCTCTCATCTCCCACTATTGTCTTCTTTTATCTTGCACCATCAACAGCTCTGTGATCTCATCTTCTTCTGTCCTCCACCTAATTTTTTCCTTTGTTTTTCTTTCCCCGCCCCCTCCTCTGTTAGTCCTTATAAACTCCCTTCCAACATTCCCCAGTTCTGATAAAAGGTCATCGACCTTTCCTCTCTCCATAGATGTTCCCTGACCTGCTGAGTGTTCCCAGCGACTTCTGTTTTCACTTAAGACTTCCAGCATTTGCAGTCTTTTCCTTTTGTTAAAGCTCCCTCCAACTGCTCATCCACACTCCCAGATCAGGGTTACCGACAGAGTAAAGCTCCCTCTACTCTATCTGACCACACTGCCAGGTCAGTGACAGCACAGGTTAGAAACAGAGTAAAGCTAGCTCTCTTTGCCCAGCATCATGTTGGCAGCCAGTGTCGTTCTCTCTCTACAGCTCGTCCAAACCACCCACTCTAAAAGGTCTCTGTTACTCCCTAGTAAAAAGCAGAAATGAATGATTTATATAGGAGCTGGATAGGAGAGGAGTGATCTGAATATTAAATATCTGCTGTCTGAATTATTCACTGCTTTAAATAAAGGAATTTTTCAGGCTGTATAGAGCCTGTCCTAGTCATTGGTTAGTACTGAGTTCAGCTCTAGATGCTCCATGTTAGGAAAAGTGACTGAAACATGCATGTCTTATGGCTAGCCGAGTGTCCGACACACATAACCATGCTTAAGAGTAGTTGGATGGCATTGAGGGTGACTGTCCTCATGGAGGGGGTCAAAGAGCTGAACTGGCTCCAAAGTGACAAGTTTGGCAACAGATGTTGGAATCAAGCCAGCCCTATGTGATGGTCTCTAGTCCAGTTCCTGAGCCAGGAGGATCCACAGAGCACTGCTGATGACAGCACAGCCCAGCCTGGCTCACCAGCAGGACCTGGAAGAGCAGACCAGTCACTGGGGGCAGGGAATCCTTCAACTTACTAGGTGGATGGCAGGTACAAGGAACTCCCTTGCGAGCTTCCTCGTGGGCAACCGAGTTCAGCATGAAATGTTTGAGGGCATTGCCACCATCTTCCTGGCCACAGCTCAAACATACACGCCTTCCCATTGAGCGATGGTTCCACCAGTTGGAGGTGTGGGGTTTAAGCAGCAGCAAAACAAGGTGGATTCCAGGCGCTGGACGTACGAACGTGTGTCACTAACTCGGACTCCAGGTTAACGCCTTCCAGCAGCTGTCGCCACAAGCCTCAGAGTTTCCTCATCAGCTATCTGGCAGGCATCTGCTTTCAGGATGGTGGGAGGACCTTTACAGGACAGTGGGCTCCCACACATCCCTCACTGTGAGCCGCACAGGCCAGGAATAATGGGCAGCTTCTCACACACTGAGATATTCAGTAAGTGAATTCCTGTGAATGTTCCATTCACTGAGAAGGCAACCCCTCCCCCTCCGGAGATCAGGGAACTAGCAAACGCTCCAGCAGTCATGATATCAGTGCCGGAGTGTAACATACAATAAACACAGGGAAACACGCCAAAGGACACATACCGGAGACGCCCCAGCTCCCCCACCACCTCTCTGCCCACGCCTGAGGCTGTCTGAATGCAGTCACTCACACACACGCTCATACACACGTGCACTCACATACTGAAACTCACACACGCTCACACGTGCACACACTCATACACACACGGTCATACACACTCTCACACATACACACGCTCACACACTCATATACACAGCAGTGAAGAGGGCAGAGTGACTTATGAAGGACATATACCTTCCCTCTTCATGCCGGAGGCTAAGCACTTCTGGTAGCGGCAGTACTGACAGCGGTTCCGCTGGCGCTTGTCGATGGTGCAGTCCTTGCTGTCCCGGCACGTGTAGGTCAGGTCCTTCCTCACCGTCCGCTTAAAGAAACCCTTACACCCCTCACAGCTGTACACTCCATAGTGCTTCCCTGTCATATAGAGAGAGAGTGAGTGAGAGCGAGAGAGTCAGAGAGAGAGAATGAATGAGAGCGAGAGAGTCAGAGAGAGAGTGAGTGAGAGCGAGAGAGTCAGAGAGAGACAGTGAGTGAGACACACTCATGCCTCTCACAGCTGTACACCCCATAGTGCTTCCCTGTCACAGAGAAAGGGCACAAGGGAGAGAGGGAAAGAGAGTGAGTGAGAGAGTGAGTGAGTGAGAGAGCAAAAGGTAATAATACACTTATTATTAATCCTTAAAGCGCTTCACAGGATTTACTATAAAGTGTAGCGACTGACCCACTGACACCACTGAACGAGGCTGAGTGAGTGAGGAGAGAAAAAACGAATAGCTTGCCACTGAGAGCACTGTCTGGCAAGCTTTCCCGTTGCTTCGACCACCCTACCCATTAGGGCTTTGGCCTGCAGGGTTAACAGGATCTGAGTGGGAGGATTCCCTGACCCAGTGGTTGGTGTATGCAGCCCCCACCACTTGGCTAAGCTCAGGGAAAATCACAGTAATTCACTGCCCTATTCCAGTGGCCAGCGGAGAGCAACAAAGACCATTGAATGGAGGCATTTGCATAGCAGAAGCTGACGTCTCTGGCTGCAGGGAAAACCGCTTCGTGTCAAGGGTTATAGCTGGGAACTTGTGTTTAATCTTATATGTAGGTTCATAAAATCCTGCCTGCTCTAATCCTCTAGTGCAGTATGGAAAAGTGTCAGCGAAGGGACTGATGAGAGAGTGCGTCTGAGTCACTTACTCCTTCTACGCTGTAATTAACTGAGATTTCCTCTCTCCCCCCACCCGCCTTCAGAATCCGTTGCATTTTTCTGTTCACTTTCTCCGTGAGTAGGTCAGGGGTGTCTCTATCTCTCTGGATGAAGCAATTTCTGGTCAACCTCCCACCTCCCTCTCCATCCGCCCCAATGAGAATGTTAAACCTCACAATGACCCTTTCTACGCGTTAGAAATCTCGGGGCGCCGTTGGAAAAGAGAAGGGAGTTTCAGCTGTACAGAGCCTTGGTCAGACCCCATCTGGAGTACGGGATTCAGTTTTGGGCACCACCTTCAGGAAAGATATATTGGCCCGGGGTGGGGAGCGGTGAGGGGAGGATGGGATTGTGCAGTAACAATGTGAGTAAACGACAACAACAAAATCACATTTACACAGTGCCTTTCATGTCGGGAAGATATCCCAAGGCCACTGGACAGTGAAGGGTTTGTAACCGAGCTGAGGGTAGGGGCATGGGAGGGTGGCTAAAGGCTCGATCAAAGAGGAAGGTCTTCAAATGAGCCTTGAAGGAGGTAAGGGAGGGGGCTAGGCAGAGAGAGTGTGGGATGGAGTTCTAGAGGGTTAGGGCAGAAAGGTTGAAGGCACCACTGCTGAGAGCAGACAGGGTGGGGGAAGTGGAGTAGGCCAGTGCCTGTAGAGTGGAGGGAGCTGACAGGTTGGTTGGTTGGTAAAGCCCTGATGTGTGGAGGTGAGGAAGGATGTGTGTTGAGAAACGGCCATGACTGGTACCTGAGGAGCGATCACCACAGATGGCACAGATGTGTTTGGCCAGCGAGGCAGAGCTGCATTGGTTGTAGCTATTCATGTTGCCCAGGCCTGACAGGCCCATCGGCGGCTTCACATCCTCCGTGCTGCTCACATTGTTCAGCGCGTTCATCTGCGGGACGAAAAATAATAATAATAATAATATTTGATATAGCGCCTTCTCAAGTCATTACGATATCTCAAAGTGCTTCACAGGATATACTGGAAAACCTGTGTTTTGTGAGCGAAACACGGCAGCCAATTGCGCACAGCAGTGTCCCACAAACAGCCACGGATGAATGACCAATTTTATTTTCAGGGATTGTTGGCTAGGACACTGGGAGAGAGAAACTCCCTTCTCTTTTCCAATAATGCCACAGGATCTTTAACATCCACATGAACAGGCAGACTGGACCTCGTTTTAACATCTCATCTGAAGGATGGCACCTCTGACAATGCAAAACACCCCCAGTGCTGCATTGGAGCATCAGCTTAGACTATGTGAGTTCAAAGAGTTTGAATCCAGAACCTTCTCACTCGGAGACAAGAGTGTTACCAACTAAGAGAGGGTAAGACATGCTTAAGCGTATTCAAATCAGACATGTATGCTAGATTCACATAGAAATTTCCCTGGGCCTGAAACAGAATCCACACTCTCTCCCAGGAGGGACACACCCTGCTTACCTAATACTGCAGGTTGGCAAGACCCCAGACTGTGGTTGGGGAAACAGCTGGAGTCTAGCCATTTAAAACTTGCCATTGATAGCTCAGACAAGCTTTCCTGCTGCTTGTCCAGCTACTGCTACCCTACCTGTTAGGGCTTTGACTTGCAGGTTAACAGGAGCTGAGTGCCTACAGTGACTGGACTAGAGACCGCCACAGAAGATGGGCTCCATTCTGACATTTTCTTGCAAAGAAAGTCACCTTGGAGACAGTTCAGCCCCAAGGAGCCCCAGCTTACCTTTCCCCCCCCTCAAGGAGAATGGCTAACACTCATTCGCAGGTATGTCTGTCTATGTCTACACATTGAGTGTGTATTCAGGAGTGACTAAAGAATGACTGAACACTTCACTCTGAGTATACGGCATTAACATCCAACAATCTCACATTGAACATTTCTGGAGAATTTCAGCTGTCAAAACTTCGCAAATTGTCTTGATTAATAATAAAACTTCAGACTTCAGTTACTGATTTACTTATTCCTGTTTCTAAAATGCAGAAGCAGGAGACTGCAAACCTTCTGCTTGCTCCCACCCGTCCACCCACCCTCCCTCTCTCCCTCCCACCCTCCTTCCCTCCGGACTTAATAATAATAATCCTTGTGTTTGGTATAGCGCCTTATCACGTCGTTGAGATATCTCAAAGCACTTCACAGGATATATTATAGAGTGGATTGACTGTACTTTGTGGGCAAAGCGCAACAGCTAATTGCAGTGCCCCACAAACAGTTGTGGATTGAGTGACCAAATCGCTTTTTTTGGAAAGCGATCTGCCAATCAACTAACAACCGGGTTGGGGACAGACTGGGGAATGAGCTGGGAGACATGGGGACTGAGCTGAGAGACATGGGGAATGAGCTGAGAGACATGGGGAATGAGCTGGGAGAGATGAGGACTGAGCTGGGAGACATGGGGAATGAGCTGGGAGACATGGGGAATGAGCTGAGAGACATGGAGAATGAGCTGGGAGACATGGGGAATGAGCTGCGAGGCCTGGGGAATGAGCTGGGAGACATGGGGAATGAGCTGGGGGACATGGGGAATGAGCTGGGGGACATGGGGAATGAGCTGGGGGACATGGGGAATGAGCTGAGAGACATGGGGAATGAGCTGCGAGGCCTGGGGAATGAGCTGGGAGACATGGGGAATGAGCTGGGGGACATGGGGAATGAGCTGGGGGACATGGGGAATGAGCTGGGGGACATGGGGAATGAGCTGGGGGACATGGGGAATCAGTTGGAGGACATGGGGAACCTGCTGGGAGACATGGGGAATCAGCTGGGGGACTGATGGATTTCTGTTTTGAGTAACAGCACAGAGACTATTCTCAGCACCAGGAGCTGAGGCTGACCTTTAGCAGTGATCAGCGATGGGCCGGGCCAGGTTTATTGGTTAGACCTCCCAGATTCAGCGACCATTTGCTGTGCAACACACCCAACACTGACCAGGCTCTGCAGCTCAGTCTGTCCTGTCTCTCCCAATAATGTACCCTGTGGCAACTATTGTACACTGACCCACAAATACATAGCAATGCCGCTTCTAGACTGCTCAATTCTGTACACATTAGGGCTTTACTACAGCAAGGGTTAGAGACAGAGTAAAGATCCCTCTACATTGACCGTGTGAGTGTGGGGGGAAGTGGGGGGGAGGGAGCGAAGTAGATAAGGCCGGTGTAGTTGGCATTAGGACCTGTTACTGTGTGATTTATGTGTTAGGAGGAGCTCATGAACGCTAAAAGCACACATGTCTTATAGTTGGGGCTGAAATCCTGACCCACGATCCATTAAGCACTGAGCCACTTTTACTTTTTCCCCTGAGTGCTGCCTGTCATGCTCCATTACACACACCTCGCCTCCTCAAACCCGCCTGCCTGCACATCGCTGCCCGTCAACCACACAGCACCTCGACCACTCCGTTTAAAAATAGCAGGTGCTAGGCTCCTTCCCACTGACTCCATCTCCATTCTGTACCAACACCAACCCTGACCCTCAACTATCCTTCCTACCCTCATCCGTAACATGGCCCGCTCTTTCTTTCCCTACCTCCGCAACATCGCCCGGCTCTGCCACTGTCTCACACTGCAGGCTGCCCAGACCCTCATTACGCGTTCATAACATCCAGGCTCGACTACATAAACTGCCTGCTGGTCGTCCTCCCCAACTCCTCCCTCCATAGGCTGCAGATCATCCAGAACTCTGCAGCCCGTGTTCTCTCCACACCAGGCTCCGTGACCCTAACTCCCCCATCCTCGCCCAACTCCACTGGCTTCCCATCACACAGAGGATATAGTTCAAGATCCTGGTCCTCACTTTCAAAGCCCTCCACGGCCTTGCTCCCCACTACCTCTGTAACCCCCTAACCCTCTACCATCCTGCCCGCGCTCTCCGCTCAGCAGGTTCCGGTCTGCTTTATGTCCCCACCTCACCCGCCCCACCATTGGTGGGCGGTCCTTCTGCCACTCTGCCCCCACCCTCTGGAACTCCACCCCGCAGTCCCTCCGCCTTGCCCCCTCCGTTGCCCTCCTTCAAGTCCTGTCTCAAGACCTTCCACTTCGACCATGCCTTTAGTCACCCTCCATTCCCCCGCCCTGCCCTGCACCCTCCCCCAGCTCGGATCCGAAACACTGATCATCCAGCACCTTGGGATATCCTCCCGACGTGAATGGCGCTATAAAAATGTAATTGTTGTTGTTGATGTTGATACTCCTGCCAGGCACTACCCAGCCTGTGACTTTCTCTTCCTCTCTGACCGTGCTTACGGCCACCTCCTCCCTCCCACCGACTCAGCGTCAGGCTCCGATACTGTTAAGCGCTCCAAGATGCTGCCCTGCATGAAGGGTGCTATAAAAATGCAGGTTGTTGTTGCGGATTTGCATCTCTCACCAATTTTTAATGTTCTTTGCTCAGCCGGGTGTCTGACACATGCGGAAACTCATCACCGCGCTTAAAGAGTATCCAACCCACGCTGAGAATTCCATGCATCCCACCTACACATGGAAATCCCAGAGACCAGATTGTTGGAATGACATGCAATCTCTCTCCACGGAGGGACGCAACCTGCTTACCTAATCTCGGAAGGTATTAGGTGAAAGTATTACAGAATACTGTACCCCAAATTTCATTTTCTAAAAGAAATAGATTCCATGAGCTCTTTTATGAGCTGAATGCGCTGGCTTTTACTGCACATCATGAAACTGAAGCCTGTCGCTGCCGTCTATTTGCAGAGTGTGGGCTGGCCCCTGTGTATATCCTCCAGCCAGGAGTTGTGAGCTGCTGGAGGAAGGACTGAAGTCACACAGTGACAGCTGCTGGAGTTAAGGCTCAGCTACACACTGTATGTCCTATCCTGGACGTGTTCACAGGGGAGGTGTTATCAGGGCAGCCCATTCACACTAACCTACCCTCTGCTTCTGATACACAATACTGTGATTTAAACAAACCCGGGCTGTCCAAATGCATAAGGTGTCAGTCCGCCTCAGTTGACCACACTCTGGCTTACAAATTCACAGAGCATGTTGAGGCTTCAGTGCAGCGCTGGGCTTTGTGTTACATATTGTCGTCTTTCAGATGCGACATTAAACCATCCTGTCTGCCTGTTCTGGAGGACGTTAAAGATCCCATAAGGAGCTATTTGAAAAGAGAAGGGAGTTTTGGGGGTTCCCTCTCCAGGTATGCTGGCCAACAATCCCCACAGAGTCATTTATTTCATGTCTGTTTGTGGGACATGGCAGTGTGCAAATTGTCTACTGCATTCGTCCACAAAACAGACAGTCATCACACTTGTCAGAAATTACCTGTGAAGTGCTTTGAGATGTTTCGACAGTAGAATAACTTTCATTTAAACAGCGCTGACTCGGTGTGCTTAACGGTGGCATTGCTTGCTGCCCGAGGTGGTGGGAGTGGAGAGTTGACTGCCATCAAAGTTGAAGAGGAAAATCTTCAGGTGTGATCTGATCTGAAGATGGATGAGGAGGGGCAAGGTGGAGGGATTGAGGCAGGGAGTTCCAGAGGTTAGAAGCACAGTGGCTGAAAACACAGCTGCCAATGATGGAGTGGAGGGGTTGAGGGACAGGCAGAAGGCCCAAGCTGGCTTAGCAAAGGGGATGGATAGGGGAGGTGTGAGCAGGTCGGAGAGATTAGGAGGAGCCAGGGCGTGAAGGTATTTGTTTTTGCTCAGCCGGGTGTGTGACACTTGCGGAAACCCATCACCGTGCTTAAGAGTATCCAAACCAAACTGCCAGTTCCATGCATCCCACTGACACATGGAAATCCCAGAGATAGATTGTTGGAATGAAACGCGTATTTTCTCCCTGGAGGGACACATCCTGCTTAACTAATTCTGGAGAGTATGCAACTCTCCAGAATTAGGTAAGTTGTACAAAAATCATTAGGTGCATTTCCACCTCTCGCTAACAATGACTCTTCCTCTCTCTCTCTAACAGGAGTTACTGTTAAACACTGTTTTGTATGTTATGGAACAAATTTGTACGTGGCAGGAGGGAGGGAGGGAGGGTTGAGCCCCTGATAGTACGCTTATTGGTAGCTCTCTATGCTAAGCCTAAGGCTCTCTCTCTCTTTCTCTTTCTCTCTTTCTCTCTCTCGCTGAGTGTCAATCCCACTAGATTAATGACATCAAACCAACCTAAGGAGGCACATTCCAGACAGGAGAGACGGAGGGCAATTCAGCTCCCACCCACCCTCTGCCCATCTGCTCACACCTCCTGCTCTCTTCCTTCCACATGCCAGCCAGGTTGGCTGAATAATACTAATACTACCAGTAATACTAATAATCCTTGCATTTGTTATCGCGCCTTATTATGTCATTCAGATGTCTCAACGCGATCCACAGAATATACTGCAAAGTGAATTGACTGTGCATTTTGTGGGCGAAACCCGGCAGCCATTTGCGCACAGCAGTGTCCCCCAAAAAGTTGTGACCCAATTTTTTTTTGAGGGATTATTACCCATTGTAAAGTGATCTGCCAAACAACAAGACTGTTGGCCAATCCCACGGATAAAATTGGTCACTCACTCATGCCTGTTTGAGAGATATTGTCTGTCGCGTTTTGCCCACAAATAAACAGTCAATTTACTCTACACTATATTCTTTGGAGTGCTTAGAGAGGTATCGATGACATGATAAGGCGCTATATCAAATGCAAGGAATATTATTATTATTATTATTGTGGCTGTGGTTTGCCCGACTACAGAGAGGACAGCTTTTAACTGTATCTGAATAGCACTGCAATGCCTGGCCAAGTGACTAATCAGACATCAGTGACTGGGATCAGTGCCAGCCTCACAACATCCTGGAGGTGAAGAGCAATTATATAATGTGCCCCCCTCGGCAGGGACACAAAAGGGCAGTAACTCATCTTATTTACTTCAAATAAAGAAACGCTAACGAGGCAAGAGAAGCATTTCTGAACGCCTGGCATAATAACTCATCAATGATCCTGCTCTCTAGCCTTACCACTTCTTATAGGATAGCGTCTTGCAGTTATTCCCTACCTCTCTGACCTATTAAAACTTAGCCAACCTTGCCCGCTCCCTCCACTCGGCAGGCACTGGTGTGCTCCACGTCCCGCCGCTCTGCCCCCTCCACTATTGGCAGTCGGGCCTTCACCTTTCTGCCCCCACTCTCTGGAACTTCAATCCGGAGACCCTCTGCCTTACCTCCTTCATGGCCCATCTCAAGACCTTCCTTTTCAACCATGCCTTCAGTCATCTTCCTTCGGAAGATACCCCTGGAATGAGTGATTGTCGGTCAGGACACAGAGAAGGAAGTTGAATCTCCCTTCTCTTTTCCATTAGTGCCATAGGATCTTTAACATCCACAGACAACAGGCACAAGGGACGTTGGGGTAACGTTTCATCCGAAGGACGGCACCTGACAGGACAACCCCCCCGCACTGCATTGGAATGTTATCTTAGACTGTATGAGTTCAAGTGCCGACGTGTGGTTTGAACCCACAAGCTTCTGACTCAGAGGCGAGAGCGCCAGGCTGAGACACGTCTACACAACGTACACAATACACTTCAGCATTGACAGACAAATGTTTTGCGATAAGTTGGGAGTCTTACCTGTGGGGAGTTGAGCGCTCCGAAGCCGATGCCTGGGGTGGAGGGCACAGAAACGGAGGGCGAGCCTATGGAGGAGGTTATGACAGAGTAGGGGGAGCCCAGGCCGTTCATGGCGGAGTTCAGGCTGCCCATTGAGGAGGTCAGGGATCTGGAGAGGTTGAGCGAGGATCCGATGACTGACGGGTGACCAACCATGGAGTTGAGAGTTGAATGTGGTGGTGGCGAGTTCATAGACGTGGAGTTGATCTGTATGGCGGAGTCTGAAGGCAGAAGAGTGGACACACAGCATTAACACCGCTAGTGTGTATCCAGTTACCCGGCACGGCATAAGACATGGAGACGGACTCGACGTCTGAAGCTTCCCGTCTCCTATTTTAACAGCTGCTTTTAGCTTCTGCTGAAAGGCGGGTTTATAAATACTGTGTTTACAGCCTACACAAGCTTCCAACCTGGTCTGAGTCTGGCCTCGATCCTTCTGTCCACAGAAACACCTGACTTAAATTCCATTTTTTTTATTATGAACGTTTGCACGTTGTGTTGTCACCTTCTCTATTGCTTACTGCCGAACACAGCAGCTTTGTGTATATCTCACAACCAAGGCTGACACTCTGGTGCAGTGCTGGAGGGGAGCTCTGATTGTGGGAGGTGTCGTCCTTCAGATGAGACGTTAAACCAAGGTCTGCCTGTTCAGCTGGACGCCAGACGAAAAGTGAAGGGAGTTTCTCTCTCCCGGTATCCTGGCCAACAATCTCCAAGATAAAATTGGTCACTCACTCCATGGCTGTTTATGGAACGTTGCTATGCTCAAATTAGCTGCCGTATTCGCCAATAAAATACAGTAACTACACTTCACAGTGTAGCGCTTTGAGACGTTTAGACATTAAAAAAAAATGTTTGCATTTGATACTTGCATTTGCCTTTCACATGGTGAGAACGTCTCAAAGCGCTTCGCAGGACTCACTATAAAGTTCAGGGCACTGTATGATGGACATTCATACAGTGCCCTTCAAGCGGGGCAGCGTCTCAGAGCGCTTAACAGTTGCGCACCTGACTCCGAGCCGGGGTGGGGAGGTAGGAGGTGAGCGTAAGCATGGTGGAAGGGAAAGGACACTGACATGTATCTTGTTAACCCAATGCCCCTTTTAGTTTTGACATCTGGCTCTAAAATTAACAGGAAAGTGACACCGGTAAATCCCTGTTACGGAACAGTTTGGGTTCTGGCCAGGATTCCTCGCTTTTGCCAAATCCCCGAGATGGATAGAAGCAGATTCCCAGGCTACAGCCTTGGCCTTAGCCTTTAAGATTGAGCTGTACTTTGCAGATTAAAGCCCAACGCAGGATTTCATACCCATGGTCGTCACACGCCAATACGTCGCCGAGTGAGAGGGGCTTTGCCATGAATCCCGCAGTGGTTAGTGAGAGGACCCAGGTTCGATTCTTGGGCGGAGCAAAACCATAGGCATGTTTCCTTACTCCACACATCTCTGTTTACCTAGCAGTAAGTAGGAACCCGGCTGTTAGTCAATTGGCAGATCGTTTTCCAGGAGTAATAATCCTATCAAAATAATAATAATTTAGTCACTCAATCCACGACTATTTGTGGAACACTGCTGTGCACAATTGTCTTATTTTGTGGGTGAAACCCAGTTGCGCACAGCAGTATCCCACAAACAGCATTGGAGTGCGAGACCAATTTTATTTGGGGGATTGTTGGGCAGGACACTGGGAGAGAGAAACTCCCTTTCTCTTCCCCTCAAGGTGGAACCAGCGGCAGAAGGTTTGTGAGCCCCGATCAACCAGTCCCATTGTTGCTGCTGTCACCTCTTGTCGCGGGTCTGTGAGTGCGGAGGGCTTCACTGTGTCTGGGGAAGGAGGAGACGGGACACTACCCTGGACAGTGAACTTGACAAGTGTCCAGCTTCAGCAGTTATCCCAAAACACCCACCCCAAATCTTGGTTCTTGCCAACCTGCAACTAAGCAATATCTCCAGGGAGAGATATTCCATTCCAACAATCTATCTCTGAGATTTCCTGTGTAGGTGAAATGCATATAATTCTCAGTACGGTTTGGATACTCTTAACCATGGTGAAGTGTTTCCAACTGTCAAGACACCTGGCTGCCTCCCCAAAAAAGGGTAGTTTCGAGGAACTAGAGTAGACTTTGAGGACACCTTCATTACTGCAAGGTACAGCTCAATCTTAAAGGCTAAGGCCAGGAACTACAGAACCTCTGGGCGAGTGAGGGGCAAATTTCTGCCAAGGTTCCTTCTCTTGATTTTCCAACAAATACACAATGACTACACGTTTTGACGACGTGATAAGGGGAGGATTAGAATTATTATTATCCAGTGATTTCTGGTTGGGAGTACGAGTGATGTAGGTGTGGGTTTGGGTGAGAACAGGATTGGGCAAAAATAAATCTTGTGAGCACTGATATGAGAGACACTGAATGCCTGGGTACAAGCAACATCAAGCTTTGGGAGTGCACTAGAGAGACTATAAACCACAATCTGATCCAGCTCTCACTGTACACTCTGTTCCTAACTTAGATGTGCTTTGAAGCTACTTTGCAAACCCGCCGGGTTGGATGAGAGTTATTTTTCTCATGGAAAACAGCCTGCCATATTTATTTAATGTGTCTTTCATACGACCTACTTGTCAGTTTAAGGTCAATTTGCTCCGCTCAAACCCAGCCAACCAGCATGCTCCGAGCACTGAGCTAATATACAGCAAGCTGCGCCCAGCGGCTCTGAGCAAGGCTCCTGCAGTAATGTTGCTATGTAATGAGTAATGATGGTGTCTTCAAAGTCCTGGTATGTTTTTATCTACAGTGCACTGACCAACAACTGAAGCACGTGGAAGAATGATAATAATTGTATTTAGAAGTACTTAACAGTATTCAGTATAAGTGTTTAAGTGTATTTAGACGTCTAGAGGATTGGTAGATGTGAGCGCCATCATTTTCATGGCATCCACTAACCCTGAAACTATCCTAGATTCCAGTGGGGGAGCGAGCACCAGCACAGACACAATAGGGAGAGAGCAGGGAATGGGATGAGAGTAGAAAGCCCCAGTGAGGAGTGAGCACCAGCACAGATTTGATGGGGAGAGAACAGGGAAGGGGATTAGAGTAGAGAGCTCCGGTGGGGGAGTGAGCACCAGCAGTGTTTGGCCTCTAGTGTTGGACAACTTAAGGTCTAATCTTTGGGCTCAGACAGGAGTGACCTACAGCTGTGTCCAGGCTGGGTGATCTCCCCATCACCTTCAGCACGCACACACCTCAGTACACTCCCTGACGTTCATTGAGTGTAACACGCCTGCCACCCCAATTCAGTGAGAAGCCTGCCAGATTCAGCCTAATACTTTTTGTCATGTCCCTTTAAACTTCTGTTTCTCCTGCCCAGTCACCTCCAACCTCTACTGCCATGCAGTACTATCTATGGTGGGGTGGGGGTGCTGTGGGGGCAGCCTGGCTCCTATACGCAGCTCATTAGTGCTGTGGGGATGTGAATGATGAACTGACCATTGGGTCACACGTACTGATGGTCACACGTACTGATAAAGGCAAAAGGCAAGGGCGGGGGAGCTTTTATTTGGTCGGATGGTTGTCTGACACATGTGGAAACCCATCACCATGCTTAGAGAGTATCCAACCCAAACTGAGAATTCCAGAGAACCCAAAAGAGAATGGGTGGGGGGCGCGAGGGAATGAGAAAAGCGAATGTGTGAGGGAGGTGAGCGATCGAGGGAGTGAGGCATTGAAGGACGCGAGGATGGGAACGCAGACTGTGCTAATTTTAGCGGCTGTCAGCCTGAAGCCTGACATGCCATGACATTCAGGCCTGAGAATTTACCAGAAATACATCCACAGCAATTCTGTCCTCACTGAGGGAGGGGGGCAGCCAGGCTCCCGGGCGGGGCTGCAGGCATGACCCTCCCCATCAATCATCCCCCACCGCAAGAGGTTAAACATTCCAACTCTCCCTTTCCAATGAAAGTCACTCCTCACTTAACAGTGTTGTGGAGATCCCGCTCCCACCTCTCCCCTCCTTCTCCCTCCCCCCCCACCTACTCTCAGCTCTCAAACTGGAATCACACTGACCGTCCTGGTGGGCTTCACTCTGTACAGACATTTATTCATTACTCACAGAGACCTGTGCTCCCCTCTTGCTCTCCAGGGGGGCTGACACGTGCTACTTCATCTGTGCTCTCTCTGTCTCCCCTTCACCCTCCCGCACTCTCCCCCCCCCGCACACACACACTGCTACAGACTCATCAGACACACCCTGCACTTACAGACCCTTTTACGTAAGACATCATCTCACAGGGTTTCACAAGAGACGTGGGGGAGGGAAATGGTGTCACTGTCAGGGACCCCCAGTTTAGAGGGTTTGACATGATGGGACCCAGTTTAGAGTCTCACATATGTGATTCCCTTATAGAGGGTCTCGCTCGTTCCCTCACTCCCACAGGCAGCTAGCTCCAAGATACATGTAAAAGACTTTTATCTGCAAACACCTGTGTATTGCTCAGAGAGAAACAGAACAGCGGAGCATGGGCTGGGGACGGGGACAGAGAGCGGTTGGGGGGGGTGGGGTGGGAACGGCTGCTGACAGTGGCAGGAATCAGGTGTTCAGGGGAAAGCCACTGGAGAATTGAGCTGACACTCCGCTGGGCTGGGGTTAAGTCTCCAGACACACTTTGACCTGGGACAGTGCTTGTTGTATATATCAACTATTAACCCTGATGAGCCCGAGGCAGACAGGATTCCTGTGGGGAAAACACAAACACTGATAAATGGCCTCTGAAATTAAGAGTAAAATATGGTTTCTGACCCACACCCAGGCTGTCAGGCTGTGTGCTGGAGCGGGCGAGAGCAAGTAGGGAAAGGGCCTGAGAGTATAGTTTAACAGCAACACACACCCTCACTGACTGACGGCCCAAAGCTTATCCCAATCTCAACACATTCCTGTCTATATTATGTGGTGTGTTACTGTATATTGTATCACATTCCAGTGGATGCATTATACATTATATAACACTGTTTATTGCTGGGTATAATAACACACTATGTGTTACTGGCTATAACACTGTATATTATATAATAACCAGTGTGTTACTGGCTATTACACTGTATATTATATAATAAAACACTGTGTGTTATTGGCTATAACACTCCTGTAATACAGTATTATATTTTACAATAACAATTACTGAGTAAAGTTCACCCTGCACTGTTTATCAGCCTCCAAGTTCAGCC